AATGTCCCTACAAACTAAACCAGTCAAATTCTGGCTCCTTCCTAGGAATTGTACCTGAAGTTAGTGTTTGGTGTGTGTCCTGATCCTGAGAGGGCTTCTTCTGCAGCCTTCACCTCCTCTTCTTTCCTACACATGTGCCAGCCTGCCCTCTAAGCTGGCTCTTTGCCCACTTGCCTTTCAGGAGTACCTCTGCTCTCCAGAGCACCTGCGTTTAAGCTTGGGCTGTGAAGTCCGTTTCCTTTGGGAAGAGATTAGGAGCCATCTCTTTTGCTTCCTCCCTCCCCCAAATCTCTAAACCAGGCCTAGGGACAGCTGCAGGCTTGTCTGAGTGACACCTGGTGAAGGGTGGGCAGTAGCCCAGGGTCCTTTCCAGCCTTGAAACCACCATCTCTGAGATCAGGGGCAAAAATGAACAGGACCCAGGCTTCTCAGGCTGCCCCTTCCAGCCAGGGTTCCAACCTCTATTTCCTGAGTGGGGCTGAGCAGAACCAGGGAGCCCAGCATGTGGCCTTTGTACCAGACAGGCAGCTAGGGCACAATGAGAAATGCTGAGGTCCCCTGAAAGCCCTTGAACTTGGGGGCCGGATGACATGGGAGCCCTGTGATCTTGTTCCTGGGTGTGTGTGTGTGTGTGTGTGTGTGTGTGAGAGAGAGAGAGTGAGTCCCATGCTCTTCTTCCTGTGGTGGTATGTGTGTGTGAGGGAGCCTCATGTTCTTGTTCCTGGAGGGCAGGTGAGGGGATATCATTGTCTTGTTCGTGGGGCATGTGAGGGAGCCTCATGCTCTTGGCTACAGCCTCTGGAGGGGAATCTCCACCTTCCTGAGCTGGGAGGAAGTTGTTGGGAGCTCAATTTGGGTTTACATATTGCAGACTCATCTTTCTTACTGAATCTTTGTAGATTTTTTTGGGAATAGATGTTTCTTCATTTGTTTTGTGCCATTGAATGGTTTTGGAGACTTTGAATAGTTGTTTTTATGTATAATTCTTCCCAGGTTTCCAGGGGAGTAGGTCTGTAAGGTTTCTCATGCTGTGAGGCTGGAAGCTGATCACCCACAGATGTGGGTTCTTGAAGAAGAAACAAGTTTAGAAGGGAAATTAGATAAAATGGCCATTAGCTTATGATACCCATGAAAACGCCCACAGTCTCTCTAAATTACCCACCTCCCCACCGCCTTCCATTTGTCGCCCTAAAATAACCTCATCCAAGAGAAAATATTTCAGTTTTACTCATCTGTTTTGATTATAACAGTACTGCCTGGTTCTTTTCATTTGCTGTGGATGAGTACGGGTTACCCTTGAACAGCTCCGGTGAGGGATGCCCACCTGCCCACAATCGAAAATCTGAGTAACTTACTGGTAACATGAACAGTCATTTAACACTTACATTCTATGTCATATGTATTGTGTACTGTATTCGAAGAGTGAAGTACATTAGAGGAAAACCTGAAGAAGACTGTAAGGAAAATAAATTGATAGCACTGAGCTGCATTGACACCAAAGTGTGTTGTCCGTTTACGAGATGACTTGTCAGTGCCTGCATCAGCAATATCTTTTGTGACATGAAGCACTGCAGATGTTATAGTATTACTAACACCAGACCCCAGAAATGAGAAGGTGGTATGAAAGGTTCATATTTACTTACAGGTGTAATGATCATACGTTCACACTGAGGAGGCCCCAGTGCAGTTGCTTTAGGGTGGCCTAGTGTCTTCAGTACAGTTGCTTCATCATAGCCTAGCCTATACACTGACAAATTCTTTTTGTTGTTGTTAACGATTTTATTTAGGGCAGCCCAGGTGGCTCAGTGGTTTAGCATCGCCTTCAGCCCAGGGCCTGATCCTGGAGACCCGAGATCAAGTTCCACATCAGGCTCCCTGCATGGAGCCTGCTTCTCCCTCTGCCTGTGTCTCTGTCTCTCTCTCTCTCTCTCTCTCTCTCTCTGTGTGTGTGTGTCTCCATCACATCTTCCTCTGCTAACTCTTCTGGGGTGTCTGTGAGCCCTTGAATTTCTCCAAGATACACCTCTCAAAACCCTTCATCCCCAGGGTTTTTTTTTTTTTTTTTTTTTTTTTTTTTTTTTGCCATATCCACCATCTCTTTCATGATTTCCTTCATTGGCTGTGTTGTAAGTCCCGTGAGATCATGCACAACATTTGGACAATTTTCTCCAGGAATTTATTGTTCTGGGTGTGATGGCTTTCACAGCATTTTCTATCACATCAGCGGCATCTTCAATGATGTGACCCTTCCAGATTTCCCAGGTGTTCTCTCTGTTGTGGTTTGCTTTCATAGCACTGACCATCCTTTTTCATGAAGTATCATGTGTCATGAGCCTTGCAGGTCCTCATGTCCCCTGATCCACAGCCTCCATTAGAGACATTGTGCTCCAGGGCACATGGACCACTTTGACACGTTCAGTATCGAGCTCACGGGGTTCTGGGTGGCCAGCATATCATCCAATATCAGAAGAACATTAAAAGGCAGTCCTTTATTGTCAGGGTACTTCCTGAATTGAGGGATAAAGTGTCAATGGAACTAATCCAGAAAAAAGGTTCTGCTCATTCAGGCCTTCTTGTTATACATCCAAAGGACAGACTGCTGGTGCTTGTCTCTTCCCATCAAGCCCTGGGGCTTAGCTTCATAGATACGGCTGTCCTGATCATAAACCCAACTGCCCCCACACAACTACTAGCTAGTTCACCCCTTCCTGCCTTAGGTCTTGGCACTCACTTTTCTTCCTCACGAATAAATGTCCTTTGTGGCTTTCCCCCCAAAAAAATATGCTTGAAAAACCTGTGCAGGCAGATGTCCTGTCCTCAGTGATACTCTTTTCTCTTCTCGGTTGAAGTATATTTGGTGCAGTGTTATGTTGGTTCCAGCATCCTGGTGATTCTCTCAGTGGTGTCTAGGGGATCATCTGCTTCCTCTTGGTGACAGAAGCTGCTTCTCCTGTTACCTCAACATGTTTTAAAGCCAAACTTCTTTCTAAAATTACCAAACCATCTTTCGCTGGCATTGAAATTCTCCAGCTTTAGATCTGTCACTCTCCTTTGGCTTTAAGATGTCATGTAATGACTTCCCTTTTTTTTAATATTCATACTGGAGTCAGTAGGTATACCTTTCTATAGCCATCCTGCATCCACATAAAGGCTGCATCTTCAACACGAGATGAAAGGTAATTCACAAGAAGTGCAAGGTTTTTGTGTCTGCCAGTATAGCTGCAATGACAACTTCATCAATTTCCTTTCTTTTTGTATCATGGTCCTCACCTGGATTCATTTGTCTTGAGATCGTGGGCAGGTGCAGCTGCAGACCTCACTCTACGGTCCATGACAAACAGTTCACCTTGTTCTTGGAATGCCTTGACTTTTTTCTGCTTCTTGGGAATGCTCCCAGCAGCCTAGTGAGTGGCACTTCGTAAGGGTCCCAAGGTGTTATTCAGGGTTTACAGTGTTGCAGTAAACACAACAAAAAATATGTAAGAACTGCAAGAAATCACTTTTTACTGTGATACATGGTTTACTGGAGATAGGAACTGCTTACGGGAAATGATTAGCACCACAGCGTTTTTAGTGGATTCTTGCCACATTTGAGTACACCGCAATAGCAAAAGGAGGTGGCACAAAATTGTCACAGTAGTACAGCATGTAGCACAGGTAATTTTATGCAGTATAATTTAATACTGCATCTTCACATTTGTTTACGTTTCTATTGGCTGCAAATGGCACCATGTATGGGTCTGTGTTTGCATGTATATATTTTGATAAATTTTAACTTTTTATATTAGATTTGTATGTTAAAACATCCAAATGAAATACATACAAATAAAACATACAAATGGCAGCAAATGATAAAATAGGCTAGTACCTATATATATTTTGTGCATTCATGACATGCCTTTTTTCTTACTTTTTTTTGACATTCCTAGACTACTCCATTCATCTGCCAGTTTTTTCAAAATGTTGCAAATCTCCAGGAAATTTTCTAGTGTATTTATTGAAAAAATCCAGATAGAACTGGACCTGCACAATTCAAGCCTGTATTGTTCATGTGTCAGCTCTGTTTCAGCTCTGCGTCATGGCTCAATAGGCTTCTGTGGGCCAGCCTGTGAAGTCCAGTTGCAGGAATGCTGTACATTCTGTGGCCAAGTTCCTTTTGAGTTGTATAGGGTTAATTTATGAATGAACTTTAAGTAGCCACTTGTTTGTAAATTGATTTTTAGAATTGCTTAAGTCAACCACTTTCTGTATTTTGAATTTCAGATTAAGTGAATCTTAATCTCCTTCTTTGTCCTTTAAGAAGAAAACTCTTAAGATACTGACATTCATTGGCAGAAAATGTTACTTATTTCAGAGGAGTTTTGCTTGTTGAAAAACTGACCAGAATGTGTGTCCCTTTCTTCGGACCCTGCCCATGTGTCATGTCCCAGTGCAGTGTCCAGTATTGCGGGGAGAGCGACCACACAGCAGGGTGGGGGGGCCCTGGCATCACAGTGTCACTTCCTCTGGAATGTTCTTTGACTACAGAAAGAAATCTTCAGCTGTCCCTTTCCTCAAGAGGCCTACCAACATTTGTGAAAAGTCCATTTTATATAGTTGATTTTGGGCAAGTTATTTGGGCTAACAGACCAGCTTTTGGGTGCTATCAGCTTCTTGCCAGGGCTGCTCTAAGCCCTGCGGTCCTCACAGGCAGGAGCTGGCTTAGGCAGGAGGCTGGGGGTGGGCGGGGGCCTTCTTGGTCTGGTGTTCCCTGCTCAGCAGAGATTCTGAGTTGCATATTTGCAAGGCCCCTGAAAATGTGTCTGTCCCCTTGGATGTCAGGCCCCTTGCTTGGAAAAACACCTGGGTCTCAGGTGGGTCATGAGGAGGGGGTCTGTGTGTGAGGGGCTCTGGAGTGGTGGTTGAATGTGGTGGCAGGGCCATCTGTGTGGTCTGGGGAGGACCATGGAGGCTAAAGACCCCCCTGTCTCCCTCTGTTTATATTGTACCCCCCCCCCCAGGAGTTTGCAGCACTGACTAAGGAGCTGAACGTCTGCAGGGAGCAGCTCCTGGAGAGAGAGGAAGAGATCGCAGAACTGAAGGCAGAAAGAAACAACACCCGGGTAAGTGAGTAGGTGCCTCCTCATGCTGGAACACTGGGGGTCGTCCAAGGAGCACTGTTGCTGTTTTTAAACTCAGGGTGCCATCCGCTCCATCTGCTTTTAGTCACCTTGTTGACATTTCCCGTGGAGGAGTCAACCCTGACTAAGGAGCTCAGCGTTCTCACACCTTGTCTGATTCCTGCCGGGAATTAATGCTATTTTAACTCATTCAAGGAGGGTGGCTCTCTGTTACACTGAGTTGAAGGGATTCAAACCTGGTCTATCATGCGATTAAAACGTTTTGCCCCAAATTGAGGTATGAAATTTAAGCGCTCTTTGAACATGGTTTTGCCTTGGCCTGTCTCGCCAGCTGCTGCTTGAGCATTTGGAGTGCCTCGTGTCCAGGCACGAGAGGTCTCTGCGGATGACAGTGGTGAAGCGACAGGCGCAATCCCCAGCGGGTGTGTCCAGCGAAGTGGAGGTGCTCAAAGCTCTGAAGTCCTTGTTTGAGCACCACAAAGCCCTGGATGAAAAGGTGCCTTCAGTCACAGCAGTTCTGAGTGTGCACATGTGATGTGTTAGCAGGCATGCACCATGTGTTTATGTGACTGTGGTTCACTTTTAGCTTCTTGAGTTCCTGTAAACATTTTTTCTGCAAGAAGACACACTTCTATACGGTTAAAAAGGAGCAGTGGTGTAAATGTCTTAAGATTTATTATATTCTGTATATTGATTTGCCTTAAGGATTGGGTAATGTAACTTACTTAGGAGAAGACTTTTCTGAATTAAAATTTAAAGCTGTTAAGTTTTTTAAAAAAGATTTTATTTATTTGAGAGAGTGAGCGAGCAAGTATGTGGGGCGGGAGAACAGAGGGAGAGGGAGAAACAGAGTGCGCACTGAACAGGGAGCCTGGAGCAGGGCTCAATCCCAGGACTCTGGGATCATGACCTGAGCCAAAGACAGATGCTTCACCAACTGAGCCACCCAGGTGCCCCAACAAGCCAGTTTTCTTGACATTAACATCAGTGAGAGACGTTGAAGCCATTCTGTCATGTTACCTTACACTAATGGGACCCAAGGGTGACTGTACATTAAGAAGCAACTAAACAAACCCTCAACCCCTGTGTCTCCAGGTGAGGGAGCGGCTCCGAGTTGCACTGGAAAGGTGTAGTTTGTTGGAAGAAGAACTGGGAGCCACTCACAAAGAGGTAAGCTCTGTAAATCACCAGAGAATTTCATTTTAGGGGTTCTGATTTTTATCCCTTGTTTTTGTAAAGAGTATGAAGCCTACAGTGCCAGCCATCAGGCGTCACTGGTCTTTCTGACCAGTGAGCCACCCTTCAGGTCACTCCAGTGACCAACGCACTGGGGTCTTACTGCCAGGTCGCACAGTCCTTTATGTTCCCATCATCCAGTTGATAGCACTGATCTAGCTGTTGACCTAGTTGTATTCAGGCTGGACGGCATCGGCGTGTATACTTCCCTGTCTTGTGTTTACAGTTTATAGTTGCGTCTTTCTGAGAGACATTTCTCTTTATCTCCTCACCCTCATATTCCATTCTTTGGTTTTAGCTAATGATTCTCAAAGAACAAAATAATCAGAAAAAAACACTAACAGATGGAGTGCTTGACGTAAACCACGAGCAAGAAAATACACCGAGCACGAATGGAAAGGCAAGTCCTTAGGCTTTCCCTCTGCCCTTTCCTGATGTCTCCCACCCATGGATGTGGGGGTACTCACAGAACCATTGGCAGAGCTGTGGGGAAGGTGCCGTGGTGGCTGCACACTTCTGAAAGTGGTGGGAGCCGACAGCCAGCATAGATCATGGGACTTGACTCCTTCCCGGAAGTGCTCTGTTCCCTAGCTCACCAAACAAGGCTATTTAAGGATTTTTCCCCCACCAGAGATCTTCTGACGGTTCTCTAAGCCATGAGGAAGACCTTGCCAAAGTCATCGAGCTCCAGGAAATCATTGATAAGCAGTCAAAGGAGCAGAGCCAGATGAAGGAGCGCCTGGTCGCCCTCTCCAGTCATGTGGCAGAGCTGGAGGAGGACCTGGACACTGCCAGGAAGGACCTCATCAAGTCTGAGGAAGTGAACACGAAACTGCAGCGGGATGTTCGTGAAGTGAGTGACAGTAGATGTCATCGCGCTGTCACCAAGCTGAGTGTGGCATATTTGGCATGACCATTGCCCACTGTGTCCTTTCTCTCCCACATAGTTTGAACCTTTAGATTTTTATATAAGTAGTGACGAGACAGAACCATGCTCCAAGCCTGTGATGGGCTGCCTCCCTGATGGGTGGTAGGATCCTCTCTCCCCGGGGGTGCCCTGCGCAGCCCCATCACAGGCGCTGGTGTGTGCACGCCCCCCTCTGCAGGGTATATTCTTCGTCACGCTCATGTTTCGTTCTGGTGCACACGTAAGCAGGTAAATGTCGCTGTCTTTTGTGCTGCTCGTTCACGTACAGTGATGTGGGCCTCTCCTGTCGGCTCCACTAAGGGAGCATCACCAACTGACTTCTAGTTTTCTGACCTCCTGCTCCCAGGAGGGTTATGTGCTGTTAAACACCAGTGGTCAGGCACATAGAGTGGAACTTGCTCACACTTGGGTCATCAGGGTCATGCTGTAAAAACATGTAGACGTATACTCATTTCTGACAAATGTTTCTGCATGTGCAGTGATTTATGAGAATCTAATCATGTTTACAAACACAAGGGCAGGATACTTTGGCGCCCCCTCCTGTCACTCACTGTACACTGTCCTTTGTAGACAGTCTCACGTCTCCCGCCCGCCTGCCACCCCCCCCCCCACCACCCCGGGAAGAGACTCTTTCTATGAGTGTAGATGTATATAGGTTTACTTTCTGTGGAGTAGCATAGCGTGGCTAATTTCATCTAAGAGTTTAAAATAAAAACATTTGCAGGAATTAATCTATTTAGTTATATCATTTTTTGGCAAGGGTCAGAGATTCTGTAGCAGAGTTTAATATGCAGAGAATTTTGAAATTCTTTTTTTAAAAACTCATCATTTTTAATATTAAGACTTTGCTGACATAAGTTCCTTAGTAAACAGGGAGGAATGTAAGATGAATCTTTAGGGCAGGGGACAGGCAGGACAGAGCAGAGTTCTGGGCCCACTTTAGCGTTAGATACCATGTAATATAATTTTGCTACAGAATTAGGCTTCAGAAGGTTCCAATTATATGAAACTTTGGGTTTTGTTTCCATTTGTTAATAGTATTGCTTTAATTTTGTGGTGATTGGATGAGATTCCATGTAGCTTTTTCCCAGGGAGATAAGAGTTGTGTCTCACTGTTAGGTCTATCGAGAGGTGACCTCCTGTTCTATAGAAAGCCTGCTCGTATTAGGGGCCAACGGAGGTTATGCCTTCATTGCCCACACCTTTAATTCCTAGCATTCTTGCAGTGTTGGGATGTTTTATTCCTTGTTTCTTTGTAACATCTTGTAGGAAAGAGTAAGCTTGCTAAACTGAGTGGCCAGTCATAGTATTAAGACAGGTGAGTCTTTGTTGGTCACGTAGGGGAATACTTAGGATATTTGAGGTAAGTATATTTTCATTCATATTGGAGACAGTTGGCACCTCTCTCAATTTTGAGGACACTAATTTTATATTTGATGTGAAAATTAGGATTTAGTCCAATTTTTGTGTCTGGAGTATATTAATGTGTCATACGTTAATAATTTGCCTTTCTTCCCTCTGCAATCACCTGATGTAGGCCATGGCCCAGAAGGAAGATATGGAAGAGAGAATCACTACTCTTGAGAAACGCTACCTTGCGGCACAGCGCGAAGCCACCTCTGTGCATGACCTTAACGATAAACTTGAAAATGAGATTGCAAATAAAGACTCTATGCATCGACAGGTAGTGGCTTTAGTTGAACTTCATTTGGCTTTTTTTTTTTTTTTAAAGATTTATTTATTTATGATAGAGAGAGGCAGAGACACAGGAGGTGGGAGAAGCAGGCTCCATGCTGGGAGCCCAACGTGGGACTCGATCCCGGGTCTCCAGGTTCGCGCCCTGGGCCAAAGGCAGGCGCTAAACCACTGAGCCACCCAGGGATCCCTTCATTTGGCTTTTATTAGCTACTAATGAAATTTAAAGGCCTTTTCCCTGAGACTTTCATGTTAGAAATCAAGTCTCAAATGTAAAGTTTTTATGGTCTTAGAAAATGATGTTCAGGAATGTGAGTTACTTCAACTTGCAAGTTTTAATTATTTGAGGTTTTATGTAACCACTTGATTCTTTCTTCTGTTTTGTTTTCATTGCACACTAATCTGTTGCCTGTTGGGATTTTTAACAAAGGAGGAGGGAGTGGCCAGGAATGTGAAGGCGGTTGGCTACTTTGTTGGTACCTGAGATGAGGGTGAATGGCAGGTGCAGAACCACAGTCTGTCCTGTGGATGGGAGCCTCCTGTGGTCTGGGAAGCCACGTTAGCTTCTCTGCCTAGGTAGTCTCAGGTCATCCAGAGTTAAATAGGAAAACCAAATCCAGCCTCTTGGAAACAAAGCAAGTTTGGTATGTTATAAAGTGTATTAGGCCCAAGATAATAATAAAAAGTATAAATCTAGGAAAATTAATAATTACGTTGTGGAATGCTATTTAAGAGCATTAAGAAGAAGAAGAAGAAGAAAAGAGCATTAAGATGTTCCAAATAATGACTGTAAAAGGCAGATCACAAAATACTGTGTATAGGGTGGTGTATTTTCTGAGGGTTTTAAGGTGTAAAATGTGGTGTGTGCACATGGAGGTAGGTGCACACAGGAGAAGAACATCGGCATGTAAACAGATGTTAACCTCTTGAAAACTTCAACTGATACACGACTTTAGAATTTCTTTTAAAAAAATTGGTCTTGGGCAGCCCCCGTGGCGCAACAGTTTAGCGACGCCTGCAGCCTGGGATGTGATCCTGGAGACCAGGGGTCGAGTCCCACGTCAGGCTCCCTGCATGGAGCCTGCTTCTCCCTCTGCCTGTGTCTCTGCCTCTCTCTCTCTCTGTGTCTCTATGAATAAATAAATAAGATCTTTAAAAAAAATCTGTCTTAATTTTCTTCATTCAAAAAAATTTTTTATAGAGTGAGAAGTTTTTATTTTTATTTTTTTTTAATTTTTTCTTTATTTATTTATGATAGTCACAGAGAGAGAGAGAGAGAGGCAGAGACACAGGCAGAGGGAGAAGCAGGCTCCATGCACCGGGAGCCCGATGTGGGATTCGATCCCGGGTCTCCAGGATCGCGCCCTGGGCCAAAGGCAGGCGCCAAACCGCTGCGCCACCCAGGGATCCCGAGTGAGAAGTTTTTAAAGAATAATTACACATTTACAGAAATAAGTTGACTAGCATTTCATTAAGTGTACTCTCAGAAGGTCTGTATTTCAGAGGAAGTGTGAGCTATATTGTGACACCAATGCCCATGGACTATGAGGGTAGTTCCCTCACTCAAACAAGGAGTCTGATTGTTTTCCAGGCATTAGGACTGAACCCTTCTTTCCTTAACTTGTCAAGAAGAATGAGTGAGCTTCTACAGACTATGGTTTTCTTTAATGCATAGGAACTTTTTTCTTTCTAAAGACTTCTTAGAAGATATTTAAGAAGAGCAGTACTTTGGCAAGAGGTGTTTGGTACGTTGAAATCAAGCCCAAGAAAGTGGGTGTATATTCCTTACAGAAAGAAAAATTTTACTCTCAAGCAGCTACCAAAACAGTTGGCTTCTATCAGAACTAATTTAGTAGATCTCTGCATTTAGATTTTGTTTCATTTTATTAAAAATAGAAACAGAAGATTTGCTACATTTTGATGCTATGCCTTCTTTTCCTAGACTGAGGATAAAAATCGCCAGTTACAGGAACGCCTGGAGTTGGCAGAGCAAAAGCTGCAGCAGACTTTGAGGAAGGCAGAGACACTCCCCGAGGTGGAAGCAGAGCTGGCCCAGAGAGTGGCGGCACTCTCCAAGGTGGTGCCTGGCTTTTCATTCTGGGTTGGGTGGCAGGACCTTGTGGTGGTGGTGGTGGTGGTTGGTTCTTGTGCCTTATTTATCATGGTTCTTAGTGTCAATGTGTCTAAATCTGTGATAGAGGTCAGATCTGGTTTTAGTGCTGTTTTGTCTGAGATTGGAATGCTTTTTAAGTGTCAGAAATCATCCCCTTTTTTGTTATCCCTGAATTAATTCCCTTCCAGTTTTGTCAGATGTGTACTGTCTGTTTCCAGTGTTCTTGATCTCAGATTCACTACTTCAAAGAGTTATTTTTCTTTTTAAGATTTTATTTATTTATTCATGAGAGACACAGAGAGAGAGAAAGAGGCAGAGACACAGGCAGAGGGAGTAGCAGGCTCCATGCAGGGAGCCCAATGTGGGACTTGATCTCAGGTCTCCAGGATCAGGCCCTGGGCTGAAGGCAGGCGTTAAACCGCTGAGCCACCCAGGCTGCCCTCAGAGTTATTTAAGTCAACAACTCAAAGCTCAAGACAGAAGCTTTGGATGAAATAAGGTTAAGGGCGTCTGGCTGACTCAGCCCATGGAGTTTGTGACCCTTGATCTCATTGCTGCGAGGTGAAGACCCATGTTGGGCGTGGAGATTACTTTAAAAAAAAGAGAAAGGATAGAATTTTCCCAGAAATGGGAAAATCCTATTCTCTTTTAAAGATAATCAAATTATATGTATTTATTTTTAAAGATTTTATTTATTTATTCATGAGAGACAGAGAAGGAGAGATAGAGATACAGACAGAGAAGGGGGCTGTGGGACTGGATCCCTGGACTCGGGATCAGGCCCTGAGCCGAAGGCAGACATTCAACTACTGAGCCACCCAGGTGTCCATCCCCAAAATAAATTTGTAATACACAAATTTTTAAGTAATTCATTCATTGATTCAACAAATACGGGATAAGCATGTGGACTACACAGCCCCTGCCTTCATAGTCCTCACATCCAATGTGGAGGGCGGGGGGTGAGAGCCAGCAGGTGAAGAGGCAGTTTCAAGATGTGACGCGGTAGGTGCTGGGTCCACATGGGGGGAGGAAACACACAACCCAGCCAACAGGCCAGCCTTCCGGGCCCAGGCACCCAGCAGGCTGGGAGAGGTGGCGTATGGCCCACTGAGGGAGCCTGTAGGGGAGCTCCCCTGTCAGTACTTCCACCTCACTTGGCTCTAGTGTAGTGAGGGTGCCAGTGAGGGGGTGGGGGGACAGGCATGGGTGCTGTTCTTGAAGGCTGCTGGAGGGTTGGTCAGATGGTTATCGGGTGCTCACAGACCATTCGTAAAGCGAGTCCTTTGCTAACATTTGTAACAGAGCCTCTCCTCTCCTTTGTGATCTGCGTGTAAAGTCTCCATTTCTTTTCTCCCCTGTCATCTCTCCTGTCCCTGGTCGGCCTTGTAGTCTGACCTTTTGTCTTCTGGAAACTCTGCAGCTAAGGAAGCTAAACTGTTCGAACTCACTTCCCAGCTTAGGAAGGTAGCATGTGTGCATTGCTCTGTTGTGCTTGCTGCTTCCCGCTGTCTCTGCCGACTGAGTGCTGGCTGCCTGAGGGTGGGGACAGAGCCCCACCCCCAGAGCAGGGCTCGGGCCGGGGAGAAGCACATCTTCTCTGTCAGCATCTGGCACCAGCGCCAGCCGGGCTGTGGTCACTGGCACGAGGAGGCCGGCTGCTTCACACCTGCCGCACGAGGCCGCGCAGGGTGTGTTTGGGGCGGGAGGAAGTGAGCCCCACACACCCCAGTGGGAGAGGCCCACACAGCATGCTGTGCTTGTCGCTCCTGTAGTTGTGCCCAGTGTGCTGGTGCTGAGAGGGCCTCCCGCTGAAACTAAGAGTGTTTTTGCCAACAGGCCGAGGAGAGGCATGGCAACATCGAGGAGCGTCTCCGCCAGATGGAGGCACAGCTGGAGGAGAAGAACCAGGAGCTGCAGCGGGTATGTGTCCCAGGAAAACAGCTGCGTGGGGTGGCGCCTGAGGACGGGTTGCAGGCAGGGGGAGCTGGTGCCTCATTCCCCACTGGGCCCCTTCCCGACTGTCAGGTGTAGTTAGTGGCTTCATTTGCGAGCTGTCTGCTGCTGAGTGTGCCCCGCCCCCCACATAGATGATGTTGTCAACATCAGTAGCAGGGGGGAAGATACAGGTGCCCCATAGTCAGTGCTGCCGGGGAGGAGGGACCCCCACATCTCACTGCTCTGCCAATGGAACTGCTCTACGTACAAGAGGATCTCACAGGTACCCCTCAGCCAGGCTGATGCTGCCTGGGGTCCCCTGAAACTTAGAGTAAGGCACATTGTCCTGGAGGATTAGTCTGTTTCCTGAGGACACAAGATTTAGGTCTTGAATTCAGGTCATGGGCCTGACCTCTATCCCAAAATACCAAATTATAACTCAAGACATAAAGGCATAGGTCAAAATGGTTATTCCTAAGAAGAGGACAACCATAATTGAGCTATGATAAAGAGGTTTGTGTCAGTTGAATCCCCAGAGAGTTTTCCCTGGAGGACTCAAATGTCAATGTGGAACAAATAGGAAACAGACTGGCCAGTGGCCCCAGGGAGCTGGCACCCAGCTTTACTACATCAATTCAAGGCCATCAGATTTTGTTTTCACCAGAAACTGATGTGCTTGGCCATGGGCTGCAGAGTATCACACTCTAGCTCTATCCAATCCTTGCAAATGGCAAGATTTCATTCTTTTTGATGGCTGAGTGATACTCCGTTATATGTGTATATATCCCCCCATATCTTTATCCATTCATCTGTCAATGTTGGGAATGCAAACTGTTGTAGCCATTCTGGAAAACAGTTTGGAGGTTCCTCAAAAATTGAAAATGGAGCTACCCTATGACCCAGCAATTGCACTACTAGGGACTTACCCCAAAGGATATAAACATAGTGATTCAAAGGGGCACATGTACCCCAATACTTAAGCATTATCTAGGATAGCCAAAATATGGATCATCCCTTTTCTTAGAGTTTATAAGCTTTTGGTTCTTCTATTTCAGGCAAGGCAAAGAGAAAAAATGAATGAAGAACATAACAAGCGCTTATCAGACACTGTTGACAAGCTTCTCTCTGAATCCAATGAGAGGCTTCAGCTTCATCTTAAAGAGAGAATGGCTGCTCTGGAAGACAAGGTGGGACATTGCGGACATCCTTGGGGAACTCCAACCCTCTACAAAGAGAGCATTTAAGCGCTCTGCCCCTGAGGACTAATGCAGAACAGCGGGTGACAAACATGGCAAAAAGTAGAAATTATTCTTTGATGTGGAAGCAGGTCAGACTGTTATCCATTCACCCAGTGGATAATTACCAGTGTCCTATCCTTGCCCAATGTGTGTGAATTACTCTCACTCTAGAGTAGGAGTCTATAAACTGGGTCTGTAAAGGGCCAGATATAAGTATTGTAGGCTTTTTACTAATTGTGAATACTTGTGTAGAATAACTTCATGCTAGTCAGTGATTAGCACAAAAGTGGATATAGACCATAAATAACATGTGGGCAATGGCCCTTGATTTACAGCACGGAGCAGTGGCTGGATGTGGCCGGAGGGCCTCATTTGCCAGTCTGGCAGGAGACTGTGTGTTAGGTCCAGCCCTCAGGTGTGGTACCCTTGCTTCAGGGCCTACTTTCTGTCCTGCTTATGAAGATGACACTGTAGGAGCGTGGTGTTACTTAACGGATTTAATCAGCTGAAAACAGACATTCTCCTATTCCATCTCCTGCCGTCTCTCTTTTCATCTGGTTTGGAAAAAGTCTGAGCCTAGGCTCTTAATGCTATCATCATGGAAATACTTCAGCTGTAACCGGAGTGAAGGAGTGTCCTAGAATCTGTGTCGGAGAAGCTCTGACAGCGATAGTTGGATTCAGGCTTGATAAAACCTATTCTGGCTACACCTGTATCCCTTAAGATGACCCCAGAATCTTCCCTAAGATTGGCACTTGGAGTCATGCTCATTTCAGAGACACCCGTGATCACTACTGATTATATGACACATTTGTTTGGTTTTGGTTTTTTTTTTTTTAGTTTTATTTATTCATGAGAAACACAGAGAGAGAGAGGCAGAGACATAGGCAGAGGGAGAAGCAGGCTCTATGCATGAACCCTGATGTGAGACTCGATCCCAGAACTCCACGATGACACCCTGAGCCAAAGGCAGATGCTCAGCCGCTGAGCCACCCAAGTGTCCCCTGACACATTTGTTTTACATAAAACCCACTATGATATGCATTATTACAGACCACATAGGGTGGATACCTCACTTCCTCCTTGATCAGTGGGACAAGCTTTAATGTAGGAGTATTTTTATCTTAGATTTGAATTATACATTTGAAACTTATGTCTAGGGATCCCTGGGTGGTGCAGTGGTTTAGCGCCTGCCTTTGGCCCAGGGTGCGATCCTGGAGACCTGGGATCGAATCCCACATCGGGCTTCCGGTGCATGGAGCCTGCTTCTCCCTCTGCCTATGTCTCTGCCCCACCCCCTCTCTCTCTGTGACTATCATAAATAAATTAAAAAATTAATAAAAAAAAAAAGAAAGAGACTTATGTCTAGATTTCCAAGTGACTGATGAATTACAAAGTCTGAAAGCTAGTACAAACCATTTTAACTGATTAAAATAAACTTACACCATGAACCTGTCAAACTTGTTTAAAAAATCAGTGAAGAAATTTTACATGGATATATCATTAACAGCTATTACATGATGTCGTTGTTACCATTCACTACATGGACATGTGGTGTGGTCCTGTGGTCCATTCCTCTTCTGTGTTACCATATTATTCTACACAGAAGTGGAGCTGTACTGTATTGTGCAGAACATTTTCAAGAGTCAACACTAACGTACCATCTCTATCTTTTTCAGAATTCTCTGTTGCGAGAAGTTGAAACTGCGAAAAAAGCAGTTGGAAGAAGCGCAACATGATAAGGTACCTATGTCTAAATCCTTCAGAGATCCGCTGAGACATGAGTAATGTAGAGTTTAGGACTGTTAGAGTTGCTGCAGAGGTTTGTTTGGGGTCACACTTCCCCCAAGGTAGTCTGCTGCCATGAGCTTTACTGTGGCCCTACACTCGTTTGTCCACTGTGCTCGCATCGGATAGAGCTGGAGCTGAGCAGTGAGCTTGGTTCAGAATTCAAGTCCTTTCTGGTTCATTCAAAAGCTGAAATGATCCCATAAACCTGTCATCTAATGTAGTGTTGTCCAGCAGGAGGTTAATATGGATACACGTGTAATGTCAAGTATTCTTGAAGCCGCATTTAAAAGGGTAAAGAGAAGCAGGTGAAGTTAATGTTTATTTAACACAATACATTCATGCACATATGGCTGCTGCATGGGACAGCTCCGGCTCCAGGCTGTTGAGTGACCTAAGAGTTTTGTCAGTTTTGCTTACTGTTTTGCTGTACAGAAGTGAAGCTGGGCTATAGATGCTCAGTGCAAGACAGAAACAAAACAAGTACTTGCAGGAGAGCATGAGCACTGTTTACCCTACCACCCAGAAAGTTCTGCTTCTCGCTACAAAATCAATAATTGTTAATGGCTTGGTGTCTATCCTCTAAAAGCTGGCTATGACTGAGATATAATAACTCTTTGTCCACTAGGGTGTATGAAGTTAATTCGGTGATCTGAGTGTTTAAGTTTATTGTAGGACTCTTAGAGAAAACTTGCTTGACATTAAATGTTGGGTATTTGTAACTGCTGAATTTATCCTGTTGTGGCGATGGTCAACATTAGAGCACATGTGGCACAAATAATTTTTCCATATTTTTTAATTGACTCATAATTAACCTACAGTGTTCTACCAGTTTTGGGTATACAGCATGCTGACCCACAAATCTGTACATAACTCAGTGCTCACCACCACTGTGGTGATCGTCTGTCCCCACACAGCATTGCTGCAGTGTTGTTGGCTCTGTGTCCTATGCCACACTTTTCATGCCTATGACTCACTGCTTTACAACTGGAAACTTACACGCCTTTGTCCCCTTCATCTCTACCGCCTACCCGCAACCGCCTCCCCTCTGGCAGCCACCAGTGTGTGCTATGTGTTTAAGAGTCTGTGGATGCAAATCATTGTGAATCTTGAAAGAGAAAGCCACAGTGGATGTCCTTTACTGTTTTGTAGGATCAGCTCGTACTAAGCATGGAAGCACTGAGAGCTGAGTTAGACCAGACGAGACCAAGAGGCTCTTCCCTTCACCATGGGTATGACATTTACCAGTTCATAGATATGTTGCAGAGGAGGCTGAGGGTTGCTTCTGTTTGCCATGTGTATGACCAGAACCCGTTCATGGATACAGACTAGACGGACCATGAGTCAGGTGTGAACCAGCTCACACATACATGTTTTAGCACCCGATGTGTATCTACAAGAGTCCAGGGCAGTAGCTCAAGGAACCTGTAACTAGCTTAGTGACAGGCAAGAGGAAAAGGCTGGATTTGGGCACCTAGGGGACTGGGAGTCCTGTCACCGACAGAGCTCACAGCTGCAGGAAGAGGTTTGGAAGATAGGAAACGGTCAGTTCGTGTGGGCTCCAGAGTGTGGCACTGATGGTGTGGGGCCAGAAGAATGGAGCCCAGCATGCCAGGTGAGGAGCAGTGGTCGAGACCACAAGGCCAGAGAGGTCGCCAAGGAGTGGCTGCACAGCCAGAATTGTGAAGGATCCATTGACATTCGTGGGGTTAGCACAGTGCTTTTTGTGTTTTACATGTTTTAAGAGACTAGAGGAGAATGACATGTAGTCAACTTAAATCTCTTGGGACAGCTCTGGGTCAGGTGCTGTGGAAGTGGCTCAGCCGGCCTGTGAGCCTGGCAGGTCGCCCTGCATGCTGCAGGCAATAATTCTCATGAAGGTGTTGAAAGCTTTCTTTGCACCATTGTAGGAAGTAATCATTGTGTGAGTCACACTTGAGTGAGAGTCATTGGAGTAGCTGATTGACTGTCCCAGGTCTGCAGGAAGCAGGCTCCTCAGAATGCAGGCCGACCTGGTTGCACAGGTGTCTCTGCGATTGCACCCAGAGACTCTTGGGAAGGTGGAGGGTGTCTTGTAGCTGATCCTGTTGAGCCTGCTGGTAGGAAGGAGGAGAGCTTCAGGGAAGGCCAAGTTACAGAGAGACAGAGCCAGGAGTGTTCATGTATGTGGAACCACCCGAGGAAGAATTTGGGAGGAGACTGTGTGTGTCCACAACGGGAAGAGTGCAGGAGGAGCAGGACATTGAGCATTCTCTTTGTACTGATCGAGAGCCTCGCTGGTGAGAGGCCAGGATTGTGAGTGCCACTGCTTAAGGGCTTGAAGACATGTGTGAGGAGGTCTGAGTGACCAAACAGGGTGAGGAAGTGGACATGATGCACAGCACTCTTGTGGAAGCTTAAGTGATGACAGCAAGGGGCCATGCCACAACCTGGAGGGGTGACAGAGAAGTCTGCATACATCTACCTGTCCTGAGTATGCTAGCAATGTGACGGAGAGAGAGGGCGGGTGGAGCAGCCATGGTCATGGGTGGCTGTGTGGTCTAAAGTCCGTGGGCAGGAGCAGGCATAAAGGAGGGGGTTTGTTTCAAGCAGTTTCATGTGGAGGTCTCACGTCCAGTGGCAGAAGAATGGCTGGTAGGAGCTGTAGGACAGAAGAAGAAGTGTCTCGGTCAGCACAGGTGGGTCATGGGGGACAGGACTTGAAAGATGGCCAGCAGGCCAGCAACTCAGCCCACTTGACATGACCCCATGGCACAGTCGTGACCTCCAGCAGGAAGAGATGGTCCAGGTTGTACAGTAGAAGAGAGATGACAGACGGGCTTCCACACACAGGGCAGATAGGATGGAGCTTGGGACATGACTGGATGCAGGGTGGTAGGTTGGGGAGGGATCAGAATTAGGTGATGCTCGTGACCTTCAGAGGATCTGTGAACCTTCCCACATCATGTGCAGGGGTTCGTGTGTGTAGCTCTCACTGATTGTGTGGTGTGCTGCAGCCCCAAAGTGGTTGTGCTAGAACTCCTGCTGAGTACAGGTGGGTGGTTTCATCAGGATGGGAGAAGAGGAAGGGAAGGCAGTTATGGCCGGCAGCACCCGCAAGCAGAACTAAACAAAGATGTTCCTTTAAAAAATGTAGAGAGGTGTGTGAAACCCAAGTAGAAGAGGCAGTCTGCCAGACGGGCTCCATCTGCAGAACGTTGTGGAGGGGCACAACAGGCCCCCTATTTAATTACCCTAATCAGAGGAGTGGAATCTGCCTCCCAAGATCCTAAGGATTTCTGAAAACAAAGGCAGCCACTCAGGGTCAGGGCACAGGGCTGGAGCCTGCAGCTGAGCCGGGCATGTGGGCTGGTGGCTGCCGTGCTCCTTCATCTCTGTGAAGTGGTTCCTCTTTGGAGCCTCTGCTGAAGGAAGCAGCTAATGGCCGACTTCAGCATCTCCATCCTAGGTGCCCAGGGCTCCATGTACCTTTTCTGGGGACTTCTCCAGCCAAGAGTATCAGTTGCCTGTCAGTCTAACTACACACGGGTCTGTGCTTTTGACCTGGAAACACTAAGTGGGCTGCCAGACCCCGTTCACACGAGATGAGAGCTATGGTTCAGAAGGCTTCTGCTGCCGGGGCTCCTAAGGCACCTGTTGGTGGCAGGTAGAAGAATATCTGTGGTCGCTAGGCCTTGCACCGCGGGCCTTGGCACAAGTGGGATGTTGGCAGTTGAAGGCCAGCGTGATGTGTCAGTGTACTTCCTGGTCATTCAGGGAGAAGGGGGCACAGAAATGCAGGACAGCTGGCCTGGGGGTGGTTTCTGAGCTGAAGAGCATATCCCTCCTCTGGATCCCAGACAGCCGGGCCATGGTGTGTTCACCTTCCTGTGCAGCGCATCTGCCCTGCTTTTCCTGGGTATCCAGGTGTTGCACCTGCTGGGCAGAAAGACTGCACAGGGCATGGGCAGTAGACTGTTAAAAGAGCAAGGGGAACAGGTGCCCTCCTTGAAGACCTTTTCTGTGAAATCATTTTCCAAATTGACCGGTTCTGGCTTGGCTGACAAAGCTCGCAGTTCACTTTTCTTCTAGTAACAACCTTTTCTTTTTTTCCCCCCATGTTTCAGCCGACCACACTTGGGCAGTGTCCCGGATTTCCGGTTCCCTGTGGCAGATGGTCCCACAGACTCCTACAGCAGCAGTGCGGTATTGCGGCGCCCCCAGAAGGGCCGTCTGGCTGCTCTGCGAGATGAGCCATCTAAGGCAAGGGCCTCTGTCCTCTGGGCTCTCGGGGGATCCCCCTCACTCCCACCTCCTTGAAAATCACCTGACTTTGAGGCTGTTCTGGAGTTACACTGCCAATAGGTCACTTTCTCTCTCCCCTCCCCCCATTCTTCTTTTGCTGCCTAAGAATTTACTTTTAGGATCTTCTTTCTTTTTAAAGAGTAGAAACGTGGATAAAACATGACCTACCATTACATACAGCCCAGTGCTATTAGTAGTTTTGAAATATTAAGACTAAACAAATACGTGTTCATCCTTAAGCAAAAAGAATTTACATTTAGAAGTTGACATATGTTCATATGTTTGGTTGAGAGCTTGTGTCTTTTTTTTTTTTTAAGATTTTATTTATTTATTCATGAGAGACAGAGAGAGCGAGAGGCAGAGACACAGGCAGAGGGAGAACCAGGCTCCATGCAGGGAGCCCAATGTGGGACTTGATCCCAGGTCTCCAGGATCACACCCCGGGCTGAAGGTGGCGCTAAACCCCTGGGCCACCAGGGCTGCCCGACAGCTTGTGTCTTTATAGACTTATCTGTACTCTGAGCGTCCATTCTCATTGAATGAGTCTGGCCAGGCATCACCATAGACCCAGGGCTGCAGTCTTGAGTGAGAATAGACAAGAGGCTGAGCCCTCTATGTACACAGTGTAGGAGGAGAGACCAGCAGTCCATGGAAAGTCAGTTATCTGTTGCTGTTCAAATTGCTGTGAAGCTTAGTGACTTAGGATGAACATGTCGTAGGTCAGTGTCTGTGAACTTAAGAGGGTCTTAGCGTGATGCTTATGGCTCAGGGTCTCCTGAGGCAGTACCACCAGAAGGCCCACCTGGTGCTGGAGGGTGCATTCCTGCTCCCTTGCGTGACTGTGAGGGAAGGCCTCACTTCTTCACCACGTGACCTCTGCACAAGCCTCTTGGTTGTCCTCACAACATGGCAGACGCCTTCCCCCAGGACTCATGCTGAGAGAAGCAGGGTGAAAGCCCTAGAGCTTTTTCCACCCTAGTCTTGGAAGCTGTACACCTTCACTTCTCCTGCATTGGGTTTGTTAGAGGGAGGTACAAGTCCTACGGACATGTGGGGTTGGAGGGCAATTCTCCCCTCCAACCCCACATGTCAGATGTCAGTGTCAGATGATAGTACATAAAGAAAGGAAATCGGGTACCCTGAGTTGTGGAATGAGGAGGGGAATAATATTTTAAGTGGAGTGGCCAGGGAGGTATCACCAGGAGGTGACATTTGAGCAAAAACCTGAAGGAGGGAGAGAAGTAGCTGTGTGGATATTTCACAAGGTCATGCCAGTAAGATACGGTGATGGATTGGATAGAAAGCACGAAAGAAAGTGACAGGCATGGGGCTCCGAAGGGTTGGGCCTGAGCATCTGAGGGAAGAAGCCTGTCTCCCGAATTGAGGAAGACTGCAGGGTTATGGAGGTTGGCACGGGGCCTCTGCCCAGCACACAGGTCAGCAGGCCCACCAGACACCCAAGGGAACATGCCGGGTGGGCAGTTGGATATTTCAACGTAGGCCTGAGGAGGCCTTGACTAGAGAGAAAGATTGGAGCCAGGATACACTTATATATCTAGAGGCATGGGCAGGATAAAGTCACCAGGTGGGCTCCAATGGTGAAACTCAAGGTCCAAGGATAGAGCTCCAGGCACTCTCCACTGCTGTGTAGGCTGGGAAGATTGAGACTGAATGGTGGAGGCGGAGCAGTGACAGTGAAGCAGGAGGAACCCAGGGACCAAGGTGCTCCGGGGAGGGGGAGCAGCAGCCCTGGTCCCGCTGCTGGGTCGGGCAAGGTGGAGGTCAAGGACAATTGTGTATAAATGGTGAAGGGCTTGCTGTTGTGCCAGGGAGCAGTTGTGGGGGAGCCCACTTGTGACAAGTTTCAGAATCTGGGACGAACAGATGTCTAAACAGAAGAGGGGCAGTGTTCTGGAGAGCCTATACTCTGGTTGGTAGCTGAGTCCTGGAGTAAAAGTTCTGTGGTTTCTGTTTTCTTATTTTGGAGGGAGAAGGGAGAAAACATTTTTAGGGTGATGTGAATGAACTGGTAGAAAGTTGATTATGCAGAGAGAGGGCAGAAAGATGTTCCTGAGTATGCAGAGGGCCAGCCCTCATGCCTACAGGTGGGGCTGTCGGGGGTGGGGGGGGGTGGGCAGTGCCCCACTGAGAGTGAGAAAGGGGAATGGGAATGGGTTGTTGAGGGGGGAGGGCAGGAAAGGCCTGGGGAGCCTTTGCTCCCACACACGGTTCCGTGTGGGGTACCATGTGCGATGTTGGCAAGCGCCCACTTGCTCTGGGGGGAGAGTTTGGGCTCAGCACAGAGGTGCCTCTCAGCCTCAGGAGGGGGGAGTACAGGAACTTTGGCAGCTCCAGGGCCTCAGAGGTGTACTCACCTGCCATGGATTTCTTGGGTTTTTTACTTCTTATTAGGGTGGCTGGCACCAAGGAATTGTTTTAAATTTCAGATTTTGTTTTGGAGCTATCATCCCACCCTCTGAAAGATGTCATGGAAATGCCCCATGTCCACGTAGTGTGTGAGCATTGCAGGCACTTTCGGCACTAGGCCACCCACCTTGCCCCGCACCTTGTATACTGCTTGTTGCTTCACGAAGTGTCAGCCACTTGGAAGCACAGCTCATTTTCGGTTTCTTTGAGGCTTCCATTTGGAAACTTTGAAAGTTTCTGTCACCGCTATTGTTACTTTCGTCCTTTGCTGAGATCCAGTTTTCTTATTTACAGGTACAGACTCTTAATGAACAAGATTGGGAACGTGCCCAGCAAGCTAGTGTCCTGGCAAACGTGGCACAAGCGTTCGAGAGTGATGTCGACATGTCTGATGGCGAAGATGACAGGGACACTCTCTTCAGTTCAGCTGCTCTGCTGTCACCCAGTGGGCAGGCGGATGCCCAGACACTAGCCATGATGCTTCAGGAACAGCTGGACGCCATCAATAAAGAGATCAGGTACCCAAGATTGTACACAACACTGCAGAGACATGAGTGTCTCTGAGGAGTGGTGTCGTACTCAGGAAAGTCTGGAACAAATACTGTGAACACTTTGTAAGTGTCCCATTCTAACAATTTTACGTTAAGAATTAAGTTTTGAGATTATGCTTGATTATAAAATTCATTTAACCAGGGCGTTCTCTCCACAACTGTGGTATTGGCGTGTTTGTGTAAGATGTGGGGGAAGAGCGAAAGGTGTTGAATCCTTTCTCCCAAAAGCTGACAGCACAGCCACAGAGGACCGCAGGGGTGCAAGTGTGTGCCTGCAATGCTCCTCAGTGCCAGATAGGGCTCCAGGGTCGGCTAGGGTGCTGAGAGCTGAGGACGGATCAGGGAGGCCTCCCTAATCCAGGATGCAGAGGGAAGCTGTGTGGCAGGGCACCATCCAGAGTGGGAAGAAGTGGACTGGCCTGGTGCACTTGGGGATAAGAAGAAGCCGAGGTCTTTCACGGGGGAGAAGACAGGGTGACTTAGGAGGAGAAATGTCAGCTCAGTGCAGACAATGGAAGGGGAAGCATGCAGTATCAGGGGAGGGGGGAGCTGCTCATCCACCCCCTTCTAGCCAAGTGTCCCCTTAGGTTTTATGAGTACATGTGGGCAAGGTGCCGAGGTGATGTCTGCCCACTGCGTGTGCATTCCCAGCCCCGGAGAGGGCCAGCTGTGTTGAGTGACACAGAAAAGAGAAAAGCTCAAGTGTTTGAGTTGGCAGGTTCTCACTCATGCTTGCGTTTTGCTACGTTAAATTAACATGATATATCAAAATTGGTCCATCGTAGAACAGTGAGAGGTCAGAGGATGGATGTGACTCTTAGTCTCATCACTATTTCAAAGATATTTTCTTTAGAAATCCTCTTCCCAGTTACAGTAATGACTTTACAAAGCACAAGGCCCATGGGGGAAGGGAAACCAGAGACTGGCCCCTGTAATGATGGAGGCCGGGGTGGGTGGAAGGCATGGCAGTGTGCCCAGGCAGCCCTGAGAGCCACTCTGTCTGTGTGTCCTGCAGTCACATACTAGGGACCCTGCAGTGACTCTGGGTAGAGTTGCTGCCTGGATTTTCTTCTTATAAAGTCAGCATGGGCAGACACGCTTGTTCCTTCCCGCAGAGAGCAGGAGGGTAGAGACAAACATTAGCAGGAGAAACAGGGAAGGCCTTGTGCCAGTTCAGTGCAGATGCCTCAGCTCCGAAGACTTTCACCATCTGCATGGGACGTGAGAGAGGGCACATAGCTTTTTGTATTTTGTAGCGTGGGGCTATAAAATATAGTTGACTGGATATCAGTTGACTGGATACTAATGGTCAAGTCTGTCCATTGACTTGTTATCCAAGTAGAACTGTAATTGGATCCATGGTTACTACATGGATCCTGTGTGTTAATGTTAGAATAATATTCACATAGTCAAATATTGAAACTGCTGCTTACTGATGCACTGTACATTAGGGGAGAAGAGTGTTCACCTTAAATTCCAAATTAGTGGGAGAATGGTTGATGTGATTCCAGTCGAAAATCCCATCAATTAAGACTTTTGTTTGAATTCAGCCTTTAAAAAAGAAAAATCAATTCAACCTTTTCATCTAATCCAGACACTTTAGTGTTTGGGAACTTCCAATTGCTTCATGGATCAGTTCTTCAGTTATATCAAAGTTCCTGATTTCCAGTTGAAAATTTGATCCATGAACTTGCAGCTTTGCTCTAAGAATTATAAGATTCATGTAGCCCATTGCACAGGAAGAGAGTTGCCAGCAAGCCCCCATCAGAATTTTAGTGTGCGTAAGTAAAACCAGACACAAGTGATAGGAAGCAACTTTGTAGGACTCAGTAGAAGATTCACTTTGTGGTAGTCTAAAATTGATTATACTGAAAAGATAAAAAGTAGGACTTGTTTGCTAAAGTATTGTTGGAGCAACTGTTAACTGGCGTCTGATCGTAATATGGGTGGAAGCAAGCACAGGTTTGTTGGGCAGATGCCTTCATCTGTTTGCTGGTGAAGCAAAGCTGACTATGTGCTTTTGTTTTAGGCTGATACAAGAAGAAAAGGAGAGCACGGAGCAGCGGGCAGAGGAGATTGAGAGCCGAGTGGGCAGTGGCAGTTTAGACAGCCCGGGTCGGTTCAGATCCCTGGGCGATGCCCCCCCACACCCCACATCTGTGCTCACGGGCCCCTCCCCTCCGCACAGTGGGCGCTCCACCCCACGAAGGGGCCCGCACAGCCCAGCCAGGGAGGTGGACAGACTGGGGGTCATGACTCTAGTAAGTATTTGCCTCTTGTGCCTGCTGCACCCCTCACCCCAGCCCCTGATTTCAGTCTCAGGCTTGAAGAATATGGTTTGTTTTGGTTTTTTACTCAGAAGGAAATCAGGTTCATTTGTTATGTTTAGAGGTTCAAGATTTATTAAACCAGCTGGCATTTAATCACTCATCAATAGCACAGGGACAAATTAATCATGGCATTTGAATGACTGGTTTACCATGTCATCATGGACTCATCAAAGTTTTTATCTGTGGGACTTTTGATGACACGGGCCTGTGCCAGGCACAGCAGTGATGGTGCCACAGAATTAAACACAGATAGTCTTCCTAGTGGGTGGAAAACGTACAGAGGGAGCCAGTGCTGTCCTTCTTTGCATTAGGGCTGCCTAACTAGGGGTACAAGACATGCAGTCAAAAACATGAAGCGTCAATCTGTTTTATCTGTGATGTGCTTGACTGCATGCTTGATGCTAGTTCTGTGTGTGAGGCCAGGACGGCACCAGCACAAGCCTGCGTGGCTTCCTGGGGAGGTACAGGGGCATCTTCGCTTGTCAGGGTCTGGAAACACAGTGACCATGTGGTTTTTAGGGATAAGTATGCAGTTCTAAAGAATGTTTTATAACCTTCTTGTGTATATAGCTTGGGTTTGATGAGCACTTTGCCAATTTCCCACGTAAAATCATGTTTACAGCATTCTGCTTTTCAACCACACTTCTGTCCGTTAGAATCTCTCCTGTCCATTTTTATTTTTAGCTACATTGTTAGTCAGCATGTAATTAAATGAGCTCTGAATCATTGTAGTGGCATATGGAGTGGTAACAAGTCCATTTTGTGGTATTTTGACATACTATTTTTATAATTCATGTCATTAGCTAATTAGCTAATATTTTAAACTCTTTGATGGTTTTATTTGTGGTTTCATGCTTACTTCCTTTCAGAGAATTTGTAAGAGTGGTTATAAAAAATAATTCTATTTGTTTTTTTTCCCCTATTTTTGTGATTCTTTATGCTGGCTGACAGTGTATCTGCTTCCATGGCTGGTTTCGATTTCCTGTCTCATCCTTTTGTGTGGTTTATCACAGTTCATACAGGCCTCAACCTCCCGCCCCCAGCTGGTGTTTTGATCATTAGCCCCATGCCGTAACATCCTCTGTAGCATGCTCAGAGGGCAGTGACTCTGTGGTCCATAGTATGTGTGTGCTCAGTTATGGCTCATTAGTTTGGTTTCCACTTTATATTCATTTCTCATCAAGTAATGAGGCTTTTCTTTCCTGCAATAGTGATACATTTTAATTTGTGTGTTACTATATCATGGATGTGGATAGGGGCACAATACAGATGAATCAGGAGTGTTTTTACTGAGAACCATGTAGGAGATATGTAATTCATAAATGAAGTGTTTTTTATATAAAGAAATAAGGTACTGAGCATAGAATTAATGGAAGCCTGACACGGACAGCATGCTTTCTGGTCTTGATGCTTATATTTAACTGTAAATCTCATTAATTTACTGAACTTGTATAATTACTGCTTTCATAGACTGAATCATAGAAGGTAAATGTGCCACCTGCTGTTATGCCAGTTTTTATTCGTACAGATCATCACAGGGCACCCTGCTTTAAATAATGCATTTATTTTTTAGAAGTTTCAAACATTAGTGTCCAGTGGGTCATTAACCAGAGTTGGCTTGTTGGATGTCACAGTGGGTGTCCAGGAATTTCTGCATCATGAGATTGATATTGTAAAAGTGCAATGTGGTTTTCAATAAGGAAAACGGACTCATAGAAGAATTTCAAACAGACAGCTGTCTGGTCCCTGTGTCACACACAATACCGTGTTTTAATATGTTTTGTTTGTTTATGTTATAATAGAATTTTATCTTCCTGAGTCATAATTTATAGCCTTTCTGTAGTAAATCTTGAATAACCTATTATATTTAAATTTGTGGAAAAAATTTCCAGTTACATTGTTTCTAAGTCTTACCTTGCTTACATCTGTCCTGTTACTCTCTTTTTAATATATTTGCCTCTTCTGGACCTTGAATTTTTTACTTCAGAGTGTGCAGTAAATCTGATTTCTTTTCATTTCTTTGCATGCCTCTATCAGCCTAGTGATTTAAGGAAACATCGTAGAAAGGTAAAAATTTTTAGCAGTTGAACATACGTCTGTTTGTGCCCCTCACTCCACAAGAGCGTTGCACCCTCAACATGTGCCTGTGAGTGGTGGGCGCATCCAAGGAAGGACTGGGGCCCACAGCACTCTAGCAGGGTGGTCATGCTCCTGCAGCAGAGCCACTGGTTTTTACAGAGCACCACAATGGGTGGGAGAGCTTGCCTTTCTCTCACATTTGTCTTCTGCTCATGGCATACCTCATTATACTGGACATAATAGTTCGGGTTTTTTTTTTTTTTTTTAAGGTTTTTGTTTATTTACTTTAGAGAGGCACAAGCACAAGCTGGGAAAAGGCAGAGGGAGCAGGAAGCCTGACATGGGTCTCGATCCCAGGACCCTGGGATCATGACCTGAACTGAAGCCAGATGCTTAACCAACTGAGCCACCCAGGCGCCCTGGACATAATAGTTTTTAAAACGAGAAATTAATGAAGCAGAGCCATAGATTTTAGACTTGGGCACAACCAGCTTGGGTAATCATGGCTAGCAGCATTTGGTGAGCCCTTGCTGTTTGCCAGGCATTGTGCTGAGTGTTTTATGAGCCTGTTACTGACCCTCACACACATCCCTGCAAGGCACAAGTTGTGTTGTGACCCTATTTCCAAGATGCGAAGACCAGGGCTGAGCGGCCAGGTGCTGTGCCAGAGGCCAAGGTGTGGTACAGATTTGTCTGCTCACCACCCAGCCCGCCTCTGCTCAGGTGCTCTCATCTCCTTTATAGCATCCCGCACAGGGCTCAGGGCTCCTTCTCTGTATAGATGACCATGGGGTGGGTCTCCCCATTTTCAGAGGAACTACAGCATATCAGGGGCCATATCTCTTGACCAGAGTGTCTTGTAACTGTCAGGCTTTGCTCCCTGGACCATAGGTACCCCCACCCCAGAACTGCCTGGTCAGGCAATCCGGTGGTGCTGGGAGTGGGGTGGCAGCTGCGGGAGCCCCTCCATTATGCAGACCAGAATCCTGCTCGTCAGGGTGACCACAATTTGTACCTGTCTGTGCACGGTCTGCAGACAGCTTGGGCACCCGCACCAGCAGCCAGGTGTGTAGCACGCCCTGAGTCTGCTGGCTTGCGTTTACATTTTTCTTGGTAGCAAGACTTTCCCAGTGAAGGAAGAGATGTGCTAACAAACACCCAGGCAGGATGGCTGCTCTTGTTGCTTGTGGTCATTTGAGCTCCCTGATTGCTTCTTGGAGGGCCTTGTTCTGAGGTTTGGGGGTGTGAAACCAGGTGTGTGTGCAGCACTGGGCAGGGTACGCTTCCCTGGCAGTGCAGAGGCGGGGCAGGCCGAGCTAGGGCTTGTCATGCGGACCAGGCTTACACTTGGAGCTGTGTCTCCACTGACCTCATGGTCAGCACAGTCCCGAGTATCACTCCCCCATCCTGTTTTTTTGTTTTCTGTTTTTTTACAAATCATTGAATCATTGCTTTAACCTGAATTTGAAATCTATCCCTGTCATTGAAATCTGTCCCTGTGAAGTTTTATGTTGGTAATTTCTAACCAGTTAAGATAGCCTTTCATTGTCTGATGATTGTGGTGGGATGTCAGAAGAGGATGCAGGACTTACCCAGCTGTCGGTTACCGTTGTGTCTTACCTGAGCTCAGCTCCACCTGGCGCTGATGCATGTGGCTGTCACCGAGCCCCTGCACGGCTGCAGCGGTCCTGTTATAAAGCACAGCCAGCTGCCCAGTCTCGCTGTTTATACAGATGTTTGCCATGCGTGTCTCCTAGACCCAGCCCTGTCTTAGCCAGCCGCAAAGCCCAGGTCTGTAAGCAAGACCTGCCAGGACCCTGTGAGGGGTTAAAGCGCTGGCTAGACAGTGACCCCACCTTCCTTCCATGGCCACAGAGATGCAGCACAGACTCAAGCTCCATGACAGAAACACGGGGAGTCTGAAGGGGGTCATCATGTTACGATGGCAGCCTAGGGTCACTTTGTCCATGAGGTATGGAACGACAGGCTCTCTAAGCCGCACAAGTCCTCAGGTTATAACATCACTGAGAAACATGAGCCAGACACGTGTGTGGGATGGAGGGGGCATGCCTGTTCACTTTGAACTTGTCCTTAGGGACTCTATGGTTTCATCATTACTCGAAATGATGGATTATGGTTACAGGCTATTTCCTCCCCTGCCCTAAACAAAAAACTCTAGACAGTTTTGCATGAAAGGGTTCTGTGCTTGCCAGTGCTTGTTGTGAATGGCATCAGGTAAGCATGTTCCTCCTGAGCAGTCTACCAGGAAAAGCTCATGCCATCCATGGTTTCTAGTGACATGGTTTGAGGTGTGGCCCTGATCTCTGTCATCCCCTTCAGTGGCCATCCTCGTGGCAGCACAGAGTTCCAGGAAGAGTGACCCACGGGCTGTGTGGAGGCTCCGGGAGGGGAGTGCCCCAGGTCATGCGCCAGGCCCTACACTCATGTGCAGACAGCAGGGAGTCTCCTCCAGCTGCTTCTCGTAAACAGGACCACTCCTCCGTAGCATGGCCTTAGGCTAAACCCAAGGCATTTTATAGCCCCCTGAGTTTTTTTTTTTTTTTAGAGCCCCCTGAGTTTTTAAGTAAGTGTATGGCTACAATTTAAAGCCTACCCAATTGTTCTGTGGTGACATCTCACTAGCTGCTCTCACTCTGTCTCCCCCACAGTTGCCGGCTTCCCGGGAAGAGGTACGAGATGACAAGGCAACGATAAAATGTGAAACATCCCCCCCTTCCTCCCCAAGATCGCTCCGCTTAGACAGGCTGCCCAAAGGAGCACTGCACACAGTCAGCCACGAAGACATCAGGGATGTCAGAAAGTAAGGCGCGTGCGGGCACTGCTCACCCTCCTGGGAAACACTATCGGATGTTAGTGTGCAGTTTTTTGTTTTTTTTTTTTTTGTTAGTGTGCAGTTTTAAGAAATCTTTTATCTTTTTGGAGGGGCAGGAAAAAAGGTCAGAACGATGATTTTAAAGAACAGTGAATCAAGTTGAGTTTATTTAAATGATGTTGTTGGGATGCCTGTGGGGGCTCAGGGAGCTGCATGGCAATCCGGCTGGAGACGAGTAGCTGTTTGCACAAAAGTCAGTTTGGAAAGAAGGGTGCTAAATGGTGTCAGCACTTTTAGGACAACGTCATTTCTTGAGTCTGCATATTGACTATAGAGAACTTTCTATTCCTGCTGGAGCCTGTGCCAGCACATGGCACGCTCCTGAGGGTTCCTTCTGGTGGCCGCACTGTGTGCCCTTCTGGGCTGTCCAGAGCCCCTCACCGTCTGCACCCCCAGGCCTCTCCAGTAGTCACTCAGTTGCTTGTGCACCCCATTCCCAACTAGCACTGGTTGTTTTTCTGTTCACACCAGGCGGTGCTCAGTGAGGGCCGTGTGCACCCCTATGCAGTGGCTCTACCACCAGCTCCCCCTGCTCCCAGTTTGCCACCAGGAAGGGCTTACTTGGGGAGGTGCTCAGGGCTCCTGAGGGACGGCAGGACCAGCGTCTTAGTGACCACTTTCCCGAGTGGTTGGCTACCTGGGGCTTTTTTGTTGCAGCCTTCCAGGGAAGGAGAGAGGGGGCAACCCTCCCGGGGAATGTCGCTGGGAGCTTGAGCTTCTCACGCACTTTGTGAGGGTGACAACTTAAGTGCTAGCTCTGAAGTTTGAAGGCATATTAAAAACGCCAAGTCATGTGCATGGGACGGTGTGCTGTGCTGAATACTTGTTAAAGATCCTTTCCTCTCCCCAAGCTCCACAGGCTCACAGGATGGCCCCGTGAGCAACCCCAGCAGCAGTAACAGTAGCCAGGACTCGCTGCACAAAGCCCCCAAGAAGAAGGGCATCAAGTCCTCCATCGGCCGCTTATTCGGCAAGAAAGAGAAAGGCCGTCCCGGCCACGCTGGCAAGGAGCCCGCAGGACCAGGTTGGTGTCCCGTGTGCGTGCTGTGGCCCAGGTGCTCTGTGTGGCCCCTGTCGCAGGAGCTGACTGCTGTCGTGCAGCACGATCCCCGACAGTGTAGGTGCATCCGTGTACTGGCCATCCCCTTGGAGGTGCCCTCAGAACTCTAATGCTCTGCCTGCAGACACACTTCCACCTGTCAGGAGGACCCCATGCATGGCCCTGTCAGTGCATCTCGTTATTTCAGTCCCTGTGCTTCCCCACAGCTGCTGCTTCAGAGACAGAGAACTCCTCTCAGGATGCCCTGGGACTCAGCAAATTGGGAGGACAGGCTGAAAAAAATCGTAAACTTCAAAAAAAGTAAGCTATTTTTAATTTGCCATCTCACTGAGCAGCTTTCGCTTGTACCTGATTTTTAACCAGCAGTTATTTATTAAGTGTACTATGTAACTGTGTAGATGTATTCTGTCCAGAAAGATGAAGCCAAGGCCTTTATTAAATGATACTTCTTGGAGATTTTAGAGCATTTACAAAATTTTGAAAGGACTCACGTGGATTCCAGCCAACCTTGTAAAGTTGGCTAGGGAGGACGTGTCAGGGTTTGCATGTGGGGCTTGGCCTCACAGCACTTGACTCTGAATCCTGGCTCTGGCTCAGATTGGCTCTGGACCTCTGGGAGAGCTCTGTCCTAGCACTCCTGTGCTCCCACTTGGTCATCTGTACGTGGGAAACAAGGGGCACACTTACATCATGTGGTTTTTAGCAGTATGAAATATATGTCTCTGTAAATACACATGAGGTGCTTTCAATACAAGATGCACGTAACCATATGTATGACTACAGCCACTGTGATGGCTTAGCTGCCAGCATTCAGAGTTTGCTCTTCATACTGGGGATCTGTCAAGAAATCTTCTACTATGTTGTCCTTCTTTCCTTCCCAAGGAAATTCTGAATTTGTACCTTCACAGACCCTCAGTTTTGTAGACTATTTATTACATTTTAATTGTAAACTGTCTCAATTCTGAAGATGACCAATAACAGTGGGAATAGCTTCTTGGGGAGCAGCTTGGGCATCATGATGCCTCAGGAGAGGGTGCAGGTGGGCACGTTTCTCTGGGACTTTCCAACCCAGAGCAATTGTGTGCTGATTCACCATATTCCAAACCAGAGTTACATGGATGAATTGGAGAGGTTGGCACCGTGTCCCAGTGATCTGACAGCTGAAAGACAAAATTGATGTTCTCAAACAGAAGAGGCAGCATGTAGTGTAGTGGGGAGGAGCAAGATGTGAGCCCAGGGAGGAAGATGGAGCCCGTAGTGAGAGGCAGGAGTTGGCAGGCTCTGAGAGAAACCCGACAATGGGAAAGTCATCCTGCCGCCCTCGGGTTCCCTGAGAGCCAGCACTGTCCTGGAGCCTGGGGCCTCAGGTCTCACCGGAGCCCACAGGGACCGCCTCCGCTAGAGGCTGGCTTCCCTTTAGTCCCAGGAGCTGCCAGTTGGTTTCTTTTTGGTGAAATGTGCCTCCTTTTAGTTTTCTTCTCAGGAGTCATAATGATGATTTTGACTGACATACCATAGATTCTATTTCAGGTGAAATGCTCTTATTTCTGTTATTGACACAATACCATAGGCATCCTCAGTCTTTTGGTTCTCTGGGAATGGAGATTTGTAGAAACTGCTTCACAGTGGTCTGAATGTTGCTGTCTTTGAACTGTATAAAAATGTTTTAAAATAACTTGGGTAGTTGCCATTTGGCTGTGTGAAATTTAATATTGAAACTAGGCCTTTTGCTCCTGGAACCATGCTAGGAAAATTCTGTCCCTTGGATTTTGCTGATGTGTTTTATTTCACATCCTTACATTCCGTAATGAAAACAGTAGATTTGTGGCAGTGCCCGCTGGCTCTCCCACCCCACCGCTCCCAGAAATGTGCATTTCACATAGGATCAAAAGTAGCATAAATTGGCCAAAACGTTTCCTGTTTCCTACATTTATTTTGTCACTCTTAGGAGGTATGCTTAAGCACTTGGCCATATGAGCACAGCCTTTATTGAGTTATTTGCCCCAGCATGTGATTAAATTTCATACTGTGTGTGTGTGTGTGTGTGTGTGGTGTATGTGCATTCATGCACATGTAAGTTTCTCTACAGCTGAGATGTTCAAATTGATGGCTTTAGTTCTGTGTCACCATAGCTATAACTGAGTATCTAAGAGCATGTAATTCTCTGTACTCTGTTGTCATGCATGGCAAGTTCTAGAACATACAGTTGACACTTGAACAACACGGGTTTGAATTGTGTAGGTCTACTTATATGCATTTTTTTTATAACTACAGTATAGCACTGTAGATGTGTTTTTCTCTTTATGATTGTCTTAACCTTTTCTTTAGCTTAGTTTATTAAAGAATGCAGCCTATAAATGCATATAACGTATAAAATATGTGTTACTGGTAAGCCTTCTGGTTAGCAGTAGGCTATGAGTAAAGTTTTTAGGGAGTCAGAAGTTATCCTCGGATTTTCAAGAGTATGCATTCCGTGACTGGCAGAGCTGTGATTTGTGAGATAGAGCCCTATACACCTGCATACGAGGTGCCGTAGTGTTAGGGTGCAGGTCTCAGAAAGATGAGACATGATGCCTGTCGTCATGCAGTATTGCATGAGCAAAGGCTCACACACATTTTGTTGCAAAAGGCGACTTTCCCATTAGTCACAGGTTGCATCACCTCTTTCATATGCGTGCTTGCTCTCTGTATAATTTAGCAAATTTTGAAATGTCTTTTACCTGCAACTCTCATTGTAAGGCTGGGATGCATCTCACATCTGTGTACTATTAGAGCAGCTGTTTGGAAAATTAGGCGTAGGTCTAGAATTTGGTCCCTGACGGAACTCAGGTTCGTGGCTCATCTGTGTTCTTAGCAGAGGGTGCAGCCCCTTTGGTGGGGTCCCCGAGCAGTAAACAGAAGGCACAGCCATGGCAGGGAATGCAGTGTCCAAAAGCAGAGGAAGAAGTCAGTGCCAGCAAAAGCCAGACAAGTCTTCTCACTCCTCCAGGAGACTGGCTAGTAACTGAGGTTCTTCAGGACAGAGTTAGGTGCTGGGGACCGGTTTAAGGTGCAGAGAAGCACTGGGCATTTCAGAGTCCTAACCACCTCAGGTGTCAAGTTTGAGGCTTTGGAACTCATGGCAGAAGAGTTCTGTTTTCTGGGAAATTAACCTGTGTAAGAATACCTCATTTTGTTACAGTAAACTGTTATCTGCCATGCTTATTATCATCTTAGTAAAGGAGAAAACCGAATGGTTCTGTTGCTTGTTAGAGCAACTATATGGGTAAATGAGCAAGTTCGTAAGTTCTACATAGCCACTTAACAGCCATCACAAATGAAGGAAACTGGCCGTGTTCAGCCGGCCATCCTCCGTGGCCTAGATCAGGCAGGAGTGTGTGCCTGTTTGTGGAGACAAGTGACAGGGTGGGAGTGGAGCTGGCCTGGGTGGCTGGGGCGTGCCCTCCCTGGTGGCATAGTGTCCATGTGCCCTGTGTCGTCATCCTGCAGGTGGGAGGCCTACTTCACATGATGGGCCTTCTACTCCCTGGTAGAAGGAAGGGATGCAAGTGTTCCCACCTGGATCCAGTTGGTGTTTAGTCTCCTGGGGTGTGCACCAGCCTGATCAGGGAGGCAGTTGAGTGCAAAGACTTGGCCCAGCCACCGGCTGGGCCTCTACCTTCCTGCTGGCTCCCACTTCTTTGCATCATGGTCCTGTCTCTACCGCCTCATCTCAGTTTCAGCAGGACTGTGGACCTGAGCTTGAAACCCACGAGCACATCCATACCAGAAAAGGCTTTGCATGCACAAATGGGCATTGCCAAGAGGAAGCTGCCAGTAAAGTCAGAATCATGTGCATTAGCCTCCAGGTCATGAGGTTAATGAACTATCTTTAACCCTATATTCCTTGTTTATAATGAATATCTACTTCCGATTTTTTTTTTCTGAAGTGGGCTCCACGTCCAGTATGGGGCTTGAACTCACCACCCTGAGCTCAAGGGTCGCAGGCTGTACCGTATGAACCAACCAGATGCTCCCAAATATCCATTTCATATTAAAAGATGAAGTATGGCAGTGATTCAGTTGCTGTTTGGCATACTTTGAGAGTCCAGCATCTGAAAGCTCTCCTAGTCTAGCGGCACAGCTCCTCCTCGGCTGGGCCGAGCCATGTAGAACTTAGCACCTGACCACACTTCCACAGCTTAGGCCTTTCCCCAGCCCATCAGCTAAGGGATTGTTTGTACTGTTCGTAAGATTCATGGGGCTTATGTAAGTGTTCACGTAAAATATAGCCACTGTCTTTGAGTATTTGTCCTTAGGACACAGAAATCGGCATTTCATTGATCACATTCATGATTTATTCCACCTGGTGAAGACTTCACCTTCCTATTCCCTCCAGTATTGCTGCCCTGTGGCAGGATGACCACAACCCTGGGGGGGGGGGGACTCCCTTTCTTTTTCATTTATGAAAAGCTTTGCTTATTTTAATGAGGAAAGTTTGTCCTTTTTTCCCCTCAAGCTATTAAGAGTTGTTGCATTTTGGGGCGCCAGGCTGTCTTAGTAGATCTCAGGGTGGTGAGTTCAAACCCCACACTGGGCATAGAGCTTACTTTAAAGAAAGAAAAAAAAAGATTTGTTGCATTCTCTGGTATAATCATATCTGCATAATTAAAATATTTATTACTCAAGGAAACCTAAGATTGATTTAAGAAACACTTGAAATTTTATGTGAAACATTTTGAGCTTTAATTTTACATAGATTTCGGGATCCCTGGGTGGCGCAGCGGTTTGGCGCCTGCCTTTGGCCCAGGGCGCGATCCTGGAGACCCTGGATCGAATCCCACGTCGGGCTCCTGGTACATGGAGCCCGCTTCTCTCTCTGCCTGTGTCTCTGCCTCTCTGTCTCTCTCTCTGTGACTATCATAAAAAAAAAAAATTAAAAAAAATAATTTTACATAGATTTCACAGTCTCAGGAAAAATCTAATACCTCTTAAATATATTAAAGAGCCCATGTGTATCTGATGTGTTCTGCAGAAATTATTATAGAAAAATAACACTAAATATAACCTAAGGATTGAAAAATGCCTCGGTATGCCCAGGCACTCAAGGTACACCTCCCCCAGTACAACCCCATCTTCTCTGCAAGGTTTTTCATAGTCAGGAAGAATTAGTGTCTTTCAGAAAGCCTTGAAGTACACAACACAAAAAAGTAAGATAAGATTCATAAAAATTGTTATGTTGTCTCTTACCTGTTATTTGTAGACAGTCATTTTTAAAAGATGTTAATACGGTAAAATCATGGTTTGGGAATTTTAGAACCAGGCATATAGAATATTTCTGATCCTATAAGGATGCCAGGACTGTTTCCTGCTTGCCGCTCGATGGGTGTTGGCTTGTGATAACATTGGAGTTTCACGGTCTGTCCTGTGTGCACTGATACAAGCGGTCAGGATGAACCCTGTGGGTTAAACCATAGGATGACCCAGTGTCTTAACTTACACATACCTAATGAGGCTAAATAGCAGTGTAGACTAGAAGCAGCTAGCACCCGGTCCATGACTTGCCACATTAGACCATTACTGGTACAAACCTCTGATGTTGTGAATGCTAGATGCTTGAGGCCCTCCCAGAGGCTCCTTCACTCAGACCCAGCTGCAGCTTCTTCTCCTACCTGGTTTTCCTAGATACTCAGGTATTCCCTTGACTATCCTTCCTTGGACATAAAGACTACTGAGATTGTTAATGTTGGCAATTAAGTCTTTAATTCTGCCAGGAGGTGACTCAAGGATACTTTTAGAAATGTCTAAAGAGAATAGCTCTGTTCAGCTTGCTTAATACATGCATGCACTGGTGATTCTTTCACACTAAATCTCTTGTTATTTGTAGGCATGAATTGCTCGAGGAAGCCCGGAGACAAGGTTTGCCTTTTGCACAGTGGGATGGGCCAACCGTTGTTGTTTGGCTAGAGGTATATCTTTCTTTTAATCTTGGGTGGAGTACATTTCCATATGTGGCAGTGTATTCATCCAACTGTATGCAGTGTATAACTTTGCGGCCTTCTTGTCTCCAGCTGTGGGTTGGGATGCCTGCCTGGTACGTGGCTGCATGCAGAGCCAATGTGAAGAGCGGGGCCATCATGTCTGCCCTGTCAGACACAGAGATCCAGCGTGAGATTGGCATCAGCAACCCTCTGCATCGGCTGAAGCTGAGGCTGGCGATTCAGGAGATCATGTCCCTGACAAGTCCATCAGCCCCTCCAACTTCAAGAACGGTACGTGTCTGTAAAACCCATGTACCTGCTGATTTTTCTTGACTATCTAGTGCTTGCACACACATCCGGTGTTCCAACTTAAAGTTCTGGCATTCAGAAGCATTATGACTTTTAAGTGGTGATGGTTGGGTGGTTCGCGGGTCCCTTACTGAATGTTCTTACAACTGCTTGGCTGCAGTGGCTTTGCAGTATAGAAGTGAAAGTTTTTAAAGGCATAGAAAAGTAATAACTATCTCTAATTTAATAATGTATTTATCAAAAGCAAAGGGGGAAAGGCTTAGATTCCCCACTTGCACTGTGACCAGTGTTTTTCTGTTCGACTTGTTCGGCTTAGTAGTCCTTACAGAAGATCCTCCAGTTGAACGGTAAACACGAACCTAATGAAAACATGGCTGGTTATTGGGAGACAGAGCAGGCCAAGTCCTCATGCGTAAAGTGTGGGTTCTTTACGTTGGCTCAGTCCCTGCTCTACTCTTGGTCTGCTCTGAGGGAAAACCTGACGGAGAGACCTAAGAGCCTCACAGATGGACTTCTCTGAGTAGCAGGTTAGGGGGTCAGGGCCCAATCCGGGACTTGTGGTTACTCGACACAAGGAGGAGTTGCCTGCTGGCTTGTCTTACTTTGTTTCTTAGGGAAGGGGTCGTAATGAGCAGTCAGCCTGTGCTCTGACCCATGGCCCAGAGAGCTGTGCCAGGAATGTTCTGACCGGGTCCCCATTGCCCAGCTGTTTCCAGTTAGAGTGGCCTTTCTAGAAATGAAGGTGTAGAGTGGTTTTCCCAAAGTCTTTATGAATTGTCCAGTGAAGGCTGCTCAGGAGCTGAGTTGGTGCACAGTGATGATGAGCCATCTCAATTGGGAACCTTCCTAAGAGGACAGGGTGCAACCCATTCCCAGAGGGGCCCAGGGGCCTGCAGGTCACTTTTTGGGCCTCGGGTCTGCCGTGGTACTCCCGTGGTGCTGGTATTTTGGCTCCTCGAAGTCACTGGACATTCTCTTGGACACACTCAGACCTGTGCCCTGCCTCTTGGGTTCCCCAGGCAAGGTGGTCTATCCCCATGGCCCAGTCACTGTGGAGCACCTGCTGGGACCTTGTCTCATAGCCCAAAGCTAGACCTGGGGACTGTGCGCTTCATGGTGCTTGGTTCGGGTTACAACTGTAACCCTTTTGAATAAGTTACTTGAGAATCACTCACAATAGTCAGAAGTACAGAACGTGTTGTTTTTATATTTCACCTACTCAGATGATAAGCATGGCAAATAGAGCTCTAGGGATTGCGGGCTGCTCATGGGTTACTGACAGCAGTGTTAGTCAGGTGTGGTTATTCTTTGTAAAGGTGGGGAGCTTGTTTTAATGTTCTGTCGTTTTCCACACGGGCATCTAAAATGAAAAGGTGAGAAGAATGGCCTCGGCCTCCACCTGCTCCTTTTATGTGCCTGAGGCTTACGTGTCTGCCACCTTTCCTCTTTGTCACTGCTTCCCTTGCCCTGGATGTGCTTGGTCACTGGGGTCACCCTAGACCACAGGAAATGTCTGGTTAACGCATGAAGAGATGGAAACACTCACGGCCACGCCACAAACGGTCAGTCACAGCCCCGGGCTCACCTTCCCCCGTGCTCCCCACCCAAGAGTGGCACGATTCTTGGCTTTTCCTTGGGAAACAAAAATGTCATTTCACATTAAATTGTTCTGATAAGTATTTCTATTAGGTATTAGTTAAATGTGTGAAATGGAATTCTATTTTAGATTTTTCTTTGGGACCTTAAAATTGGTAGACTTGCTCTACTTAGAATAGATTTAACTCCTATCTCCTTCTGGAGAGACCTCAGTTTGGTGCTCGGTTTTCATGTTCTGGCCTTAGTTTTCTCCTTATACGGACATGCTTGCCATGGGAAATTGGCTATTTGCATGAGAAATTGGAATTGTTGGTTTTGCATGAGTTTTGCATGATGCATTCTTTGATTTATTTATTTTTACTCTTTCACTCAGTCACTGCACCTTCCCTACAGCATTAATTTGCTTGCATCACTCAGTTCACCAATACTAATAGTTATGTTCTTTTGCATTCCTAACCTCGTAACACCAGGAGGATGAGGAGGGAAGCTGGGCTCAGGTTGGAGACTCTCTATAATATACTCTTCACTATATGTACCGCAGCAAAAGAGCTGGAGTATGAAAGCTTGTAATTGACTTTTCTTGACATTTTTAACATCTTAATTTGTGCAGAATATTGTTGATGATTTAAAGCATTAGTCAGAGCGAAGCATAGGATTAAAGAGTACGTCTCATGGACAATTTTGAACCTTTCTCACGTGGCACCATGGCGGTTTATTCTGTTTAACATAGATTACTTCTTTAGCACACGACTGTCCTACAGAGTGCCATGGCTTTGGCAGCTCTCAGGATAAGGGCCCAGCACAATAGTTGGCACAGGGGCTTTCCCTCCCTGTCTGCGTATCAGGGTGTGACTAAGTGCTGTCCTGGTGCTGTGTTGATCGAGACGTTTTCTCACTCGTGGGATTCCCAGGAATCAAGCCTCTCCTTAAAAACGTACATTCAAATTTTCAGCTTCCGGGTTCTTCAACTCACCAAAAGCTCTGTTATGACTGTTTTGCAGCCGTGATTTGAGACAGCTTGATTAAAAGGAGTGGTTTCCTACTTGTGATTCTAGCAACCTTGCTGCCTGACTTGCTGTTCTGTTTTAGTGCCAAGTCGGAGGCTGTGAGGGCGCGGCCAGGCGGTTCTTCCCGAGGCTGTTACTAATGGCATCATGTTCAAGGATCTCAAAAGGATATGGTATATCTGAAAAAAATCAAACTAATCTTAAATCTGATGTTCCTCATTTCTGGTCAGTGGTGGAAACAGCTCTTCTCCTCTATCTGTACTCCTAAATTATAGCCAATATTTTCACTTTTTTAAAAAGCAGAAGAGGAGAGTGGCTGTAATATTCTGTGAGCACCCTCTCAACCCCTTTGATTTCGGCACTCTGTGCCACTACTCCAGATACATATCCTCATTGATCATTTCGCCTGCTCGGAATCAGGGCCTAACCATCAGTGAATCAAAAAGGGTGCATTTTGTAATTGCTTAAACATCAGTGTGTTTGACGCTAAGAAGGAGAACTTTGGCAGCACCTCCATATGAAACTCCTTATATTGGGGCGTGACTTGTAAACTAAACAAGCTAAATGCTCTTTGTAGTGGAAACATAAACAAGGACGAGCTGTGCCAATGACATCAGAATTAGCTTGCATTGATGGTTTCCACTCCATCCCTCTTCTAGAGGAGAGGAGAATGAAGAGGCATCGTGGTCTCTGTGCAGCTGCTAACCTGCTGCCAAGGGTGGAAGTCCTACAGTGCACCTTCCATGTGCTGTTACATAGTGACCAGCTCTTAAGCCAAGGGAGAGTTTGAGATGCCTTTGGGCACTCAGGGGAGGAAAACATCAAGGTGTGGTCAATTCATGGATGCCTTCACTTAGCAGATAGCATCAGTGTGCTCTTTGCAAAATGGAGCTGCTTGTTGGTGCCATCTACCATCGTCCTTCACATTTCACAGAGGTTACAAAGCTGAATTGTATTTGTGTTCTCATTTCATTGCTGGAAAAAATAGAGCCCATGCAGTGGCAGTCTCTTGCAGTCCAGGTGTTCTCTGACCATGAGATATCCCTGTTGTGTCCTCCCTTCAGAAGGCTGTGACCGTAGTCCAGGAGGAGGTGTGGATCTCCCTGGCTTTGAGCCTGGTTCCCCTGGAGCTCACATTACAGATCACTTAAGAAGTGGGACTAGAAGAAAAAAAAAAAAAAGTGGGACTAGAGTATGTAATGAATAAACAACATTAAGGAGGGCTCTGCTCCCATGGAATTGTCTGTTGAGAAATTTCTTTGCATTTTATGTTCAAGAATACATAAACAGAGGGAAGAAAGCAGTGACATACTCACACGCTTAAGTGTCAGGTCTATGATATTGAGAGTGAGGTTTGAAAGAGTGAAGAAACATGACCCTGTGACAATTTTCCAAAAATGTTTGCTGCTTTTCTCATTCATGGTTATTTAGAGAAAGTAGTGAAACAGTTTTTTTTTTTCTGTTGAATTTGAGCATTCTTGTTGAAATTTTGACTCATTTCTTTTTAGCTTGTTTGGTGTAAACAGTAGATCAGAGGCTGTGTTTTCAAGCCTGAACCTTGTGGCTAGCTGAGAGTTACTGTTTCCAAGGATTCCGCAAGGCAACTACAGAATTCCTGTGACTATAGCTTAGGCTTCTTGGACTGAAGAACATCCAGTACCTTTGTTTGATGCTATTCATTTCCTTCTCATCGCAGAAATCTTGCACATATTCTGTCAGATTTATCCCCAAGGATTTCGTGGTTTTTGATGATATTACAAATGGCATTTTTTTTAAATCTCCATTTGAGGTTCATTTCTAAAAGTATTTAGAAATACAGTTCACTTTTGTTTGTATATAGGCCTTGTATCCTGCTACCTAGTTAAACTCACTTGAGTCCGGACAGCTGCTCTATATCCCATTTTCTAATAGTGATGATCAGGTCATCTGCAAACAGAGAGAGTTTTACTTCTTTTCCAACCCATACGATTTTGACTTATTTTTCTTGCCTTGTTACAGTGGCTGGGGATTCCAGTCAGGGTTGAATGAAAGTGGTGGGAGCAGACATCCTTCATTTTCTTTGTTCCTCAGTTTAGGGAAAATGCATTCAGTCTTTCACCACAAAGTGTGCCATCAGCGCTACATTTTTTTGTAGACCCTTTATCAGGCTGAGGCAGTTGTCTTCTGTGTCTAGATTGCCCAGATTTCCATGAATGAGTGATGATTTGATCACAAACCTTTTTCACATGTCTGTCATTTTTCTTTTTTAGTCCTTTGATACAGTGAATTTCTCTGATTTTCAAATATTGACCCAACTTATGTTCCTGGAGTAAACCCCACTTGTCATGATATCTTACTCTTTTAATTTATTACTGATTTGATTTGCTAATATTTTGTTAAGGAAAATTTGTATCTGTGTCTATGAGAGCTGCTCATTGGTCTGTAGTTTTCTTGTAACATGTCCGGTTTTCTTATCAGGATAATGATGCTCTTGGAGAATGAGTAAGATATTTCTTCTGCTTCATTTTTTTTGTAATAGTTTGCATAGAATTGGTACTTTTTAAATAAACGTTTGGTAGAGTTCAACAGTGAAGGCATGCAGTGTAGAGTTTGAATGCACCTCGTGTGTGTGTGTGTGTGTGTGTGTGTGTGTGTGTGGTTTACAGCTACAAATTCAAGTTCAGGTATGGGTAACCTGAGTGGTTCTCATACATGATGTCTATCATGAAATTTACCCATTTTATCCAGGTTGCTTATAGCTGTCCACAGTTTTCCCATATTACCCTTTCAGTGTCTGTAGGGTCTGTGCCAATGCTCCCTCTTTCATTCTTGATGTTGGTGTTTTGTATCTTTCTTCTTGATCACTCTGGGTAGGGGTCTGTCGAGTTTAGTGATGTTTATGAAAATCCAGGTTTTACTTTCATCGTTTTATTTTCTACCATTTTTCTGGTTTCTGTTTCACAGATTTCTGCTCTTTTATTTCCTTCCTTCTACTTGCTGTAGATTTTTTTTTCAAGTTTTTAAAGGTAAAATCTTAGATTATTGACTTACAATCTTTCCTCATTTATAACATAAGCACTTAATACTGTAAACTGCCCTCAGGACACTGCTCCAGCTGTGTCTCACAATTTTATGAATGTATTGTTTGTGCGCTTACTTTTTTTTTAAGGTTTTATTTATAAGTAATCTCTGCACCAGTGTGGGGCTCAAACTCAACCCTGTGATCAAGTCACACACTCCACTGACCGAGCCAGCCAGGTGTCGCTTGCATGTTCACTTTCATTCAGTTCCAAATGTTTTCCCATTTACCTTGTGATTCCTTTTTTTTGACACATAGGTTATTTGGAAGTGTGCTAATTCCAAATACTTGGGAGTTTTCCAAATGTCTTTTTATTATGAGTTTCTAATTTAATTTCTCTTAAGGTTAGAGGAGATATACTTAGTATGATTTCAGTCTCTTTAAATACAAGGAGATTTGTCTGTGTTGGAGAATGTTCTGTGTGCACTCCTTTTGGGTGGAGTGCTGTCTCGTATCAGTTGGGTCGGGTTGGTTGACACTGCGGCTTCAGTGCTTCTCCATCTGTGCAAGCCTGTTGTTTGGCCCAGTTGCTCAGTTACCAAACTATGGGTGGTGGTGGGGAGGGATGTCTCCTGTGTCCTCTCCATCTTACCATGTTCATCTCTTCTTTTAAATCTATGTTTTAACTCACTTTTTTAAAATCTGATTTTGAAATTAACAGATGTTTTGTTAATGAAATATAGAAAACAAAGTGTTAAAAATAAAATGAAAGCCAGCCAGAGGTATTTTTAATGAGTAGACTTGGATGATTCTTCAAACTTGTTCATGAGCCGTGATTGTTCTTTGTTGATCATTATACATGAAAACTAGCTCAGAAAGACAGTGCATAACCAGTCAGTTTTACTGTGCTTTGTTTGGTAAATACGTTAAATTCATAAGCACAAATGAGTCGTAAATTTGTAATGGTATAATTCCTTTTGTGCAAAATTTTACTGACGATATAAGAGTAAATGGGAGATCAAATTATTTTGAAATTATAAAAAATGATGTTATTAATTTAGCCTCTGAGAATATGGAACAGATTGAAAATATAGTTTGATGATAATTTAAATGACCCTTGTGACCTCTTCCATGGCTTTTCTTCTGAACTGATGTGCTTAATTATTGCAACCAGACCCTTGCCTATGGGGACATGAACCATGAGTGGATTGGCAATGAGTGGCTGCCCAGCCTGGGCCTGGCACAGTACCGCAGCTACTTCATGGAGTGCCTGGTAGACGCACGCATGCTGGACCACCTGACCAAAAAGGATCTGCGGGGCCAGCTGAAGATGGTCGACAGTTTCCACAGGTGCTTCCTGCATGGTGCTCCTTGTTGGTTCACTCCGGGGGCTCACACTGCTGCCATGGCTAACTGGGTTTTTTTTGTTTGTTTGTTTGTTGGTTGGTTTATTAATAGAAACAGTTTCCAGTGTGGAATTATGTGCCTACGGAGATTAAATTATGACCGAAAAGAACTGGAGAGAAAGAGAGAAGAAAGCCAGAATGAAATCAAAGGCAAGTACATTATGTGCCATGGATGCACTATGTTTCTGCTTCCCATGATGCTGACAGCTCAGTGACTGCCTTCTTTTAAAAAAATCAGGAGGAGGGACGCCTGGGTGGCTCAGCGGTTGAGCGTCTGCCTTTGGCTCAGGGTGTGATCCTGGGGTCCTGGGATCAAGTCCCACATCGGGCTCCCTGCAGGGAGCCTGCTTCTCCCTCTGCCTGTGTCTCTGTCTCTCTTTCTCTCTGTTTCTCTCATGAATAAATAAATAAAATCTTTAATAAAAATTTAAGAAAAAATTAAAAATCAGGAGGAAAAAAAGAAGATAAATAAATTTAAAATAAATTTAAAAATCACAAGGGATGCCCACCTGGCTCTATCCATGGAGCACGTGACTCATGATCTTGGGGTTGTGGATTTGAGCCCCATGTTGGGTGTAGAGATGACTTCAAAATAAAATTTTAAAAAATTAAAATTAAACACAATAAAATAATGAGGAAAGACTTTAGTGGAGAAAACCAGTCTGGCATCATTACAGAGGAGAGAGGGATTGGGTGCCTCTCAGACCCTCTTCTGTGACTGGAGACCCTGTGCCTAGTTGTCTGTGCTTGTGGCAGTCTGTAGGGTCTGGGTCTCAGGGTGAGCATTTTCCTGTGACCTCAGACACTTCCTGTTGTAAGGATACATGTCCTCTTTTGTTGAGAATTGCTGCCACATGCTACTAGATAGCAACAGAGCAGAGCTGAACAGGCCCCTGCATTCTTGGCATCAGCATGAAAAATACCACTCTCTATCCAAGGCCCTGAGCCCACAGTTAAAGAGTGTGGCTCTGCTCCCATGGCTGAGGGAATGGCACAGGGTTAACGTGGCAGCTGGGCCCTGAAGGTGATGGGAGCCTCTTATTGGGGTGGGGGTGCCAGCAGAGGCATTTTAGGTAAAGGGATGAGGGTGCTCAACCAGGAGATGGCAGATGCTTCTTTCTGTTGGGAGCTACCCACCCAGGGCACATCTGAGTGAGCGGGTGTAGTAGTTTGCTTTGAAATAAGACGTTAACAATTAAGCTCAAAGTACAGTCTTCCCCAATTTTCAGTATAAAGAAATTACTAAGAATGGTTATAGCAAACGAGGCCTATTGACCAACTCTAAGCATATAGGTTAATTTATGGAATCCTTACTACCACGGTCCTGTATGTGCTATTTTCATACCTTATCCTTACGAGGCCAGAAGTTAAAGATAAAAATATGGTTGGGGAGACGGCCCACTTGAAGGATAGTCTAATCATGATTGAGTTAGTGTGAATCACAAGAAAAACCATAAGCAAACATTTGTGATACGTATTCTATACACATATAAAATAATACATTCAACATATAAATATGGTAACAATCTCTAAATATTTTTTGTGTGTGTGCGCCCGTGTCTGTACATCTCTTCTTTTTTTTTCTAGAAAAGGACGTGGGAAATGAGATACATAAATCTGTTTCATTTGTTTTGTATTTCTGTCTTAAATCTTTCACAGTTGACAAAAGCTGTTTTTGAAAGTAACTGGTGATCATCTGGATATATTTTTACAGGGTGGCTATTTTTAGATCTCTACTAAAGCAAATTTAATAATTTATTAGTTTGCATAAATATAAGATCTTCCCCTACCGTGTCTAATACACTGGAGAATATATTCAAGTTTTTCTATTTTTAAAATGCAACAACAGAAAAGTCCTTGCGATTGTAAGGGAGGGGTTTGTGTTTAATTGACAATGTGCCCAGCTACGGTGCCAGCGCCTCTCTTTAAGGGGAAGAAGGTATTTCAGAAGAGCTAAAGTCATACCCGGTGTGTCCCTGGTGTGCCCTTACGGCTTCTGAAGCTGGGTCCCCCTCGCTTTCTCTTTCCTAGAAACTTGGTGTTTGGTAACTTCCTTGCTCTAGGCTTTGCTGAGAGAGTGAGTTCCAATAGGACGGTCTCCATCAGACAAAAAAGAGCCAGGGCAGCAGTGTGCACGTGCCCTAGAGGTCATCTGCCCACTGGGCCTTTGCCTCCTGTGCGGCCCATGTCAGGAACTGGAGGTTCAGGCCTACGGAAGGAATCTTTATCCTGCCTTACAAGGCGTACATGATGAAAAGAGCTGTCTGCAGCCACTCTGAGATTGTTTTCCTTCATCTGCAGATGTACTGGTTTGGAGCAACGATCGAGTGATTAACTGGATCCTATCAATTGGCCTTAAAGAGTATGCCAGCAATCTCATCGAGAGCGGCGTTCACGGCGCGCTCATGGCCTTAGATGAAACCTTCGATGCCAACGCCCTGGCACTTCTGCTGCAGATCCCGACACAGAACACGCAGGTGATGCCAGCTGCACCTGCACCCCACCGTCTGGCCAGACACGGCACCCCATGCTTGAGTGGAGGCAGAGAGAGCATAACCAGACCCTAGCCAGCCAGTCCTCTCTTCCCTTCTCCAGACACTGTGCAGTGGCTTAGAGCCCACAGTGCTTATCGACGACTCCTCTTCGCTGCCTGTCATCTTTGTATCTCCTGGTAAATGCAGGAGTCATGGAATTACCAGTATGGGAGACTTGCATCCACATCAGGTGCTCCTAGAGTGGCCCATAAGAGAGAACACTCTTACTTAGGGGTGCCAGACAGGGGTCTCATGAAGTTTGTGCTTTTCCCTGTGTCATTCTTTTTGACTCATGGGCTCATTGGAGAATCAGGAATTTCTTTATTCTTCTATGAAACACTGTATATCTTTTCCCAGTACCTTCAACCTCCCACCAGCAGCGACCCACAGGCACACCTATTATACAGTGTCCAAGAGCTTGTGGATCCCTACTCCAAAAGCCCAGTAATGGACTCCATGCTAAAACTCCCGACTTAAAATACACCGTGAAGGTTGAAGGCATTTGTCCCTTACGTTTCTGGTTTTTATTCTTTTTTTAAAGTCTTGGTTTAAAAACAATTGTGATACGCTAACATCCTTCAGATTTGATTGATGGAGGTTCTGGGGGAATGTTTTGTTATGATTTCAGGCTCGTGCTGTCTTGGAAAGAGAGTTTAACAGCCTTTTGGTCATGGGGACTGACAGAAGGTTCGATGAAGTAAGTTTTCAACCTCAGGATTTGTAAATTTGTGTAAAATGTGAAGTATTTTATTTGGGAGCACCTGGCAGGCTTAGTTTGGTGGAGCAAGTGACTCTTGACTTCAAGGTTGTGGATTTAAGCCCTACATTAGATTTATAAATGACTTAAGTGTAAAGTCTTTTAAAAAAAGAAAAAGTAAATTGGTATATTTATAGGAGCCATGTAGTCTGGATAAACTCTTCCAAGTGTGAAGATAATTTTACTTTACAAGTCCAGCTTTGCTCTCTGAATTTATGAACAAATGAACTTTTAAGAAAGCAGTATTTTTACTAAGATGGGTTGTTTTTTTTAAAATTTTTGCTATTTAGCTTTTGATATCCATCAAAAATTTTTTTCATGTCATAAAGCGTTGGTTGTAGCCTAGGAGTAGAGTCTGTAAGTTGTGTTTGGGGATGGCTGGATACCTCACCCCCATCCGAGGCCTTTACTTGTTTAAAAACATGACATGTTCATTTCTTCTCACACAAAACCATAACTCATTTACTCCCACTCCATTACATATTACTGTCTCCGGTACGAGTACCTGAGTGTGGCAGAAACAGGACACATGACAAAGCACTGCTGGCCTATCCAGGCATGCAGACTATTGTTCACGGCCTGAAGATAGAAACATAGTATCTTATATAGCAGGAAGATAATTTCTGCAGGATAAGAAGCGGCTGTGATGGCAGGCAGCGGGGCACAGCCACGTGGCCCGGGACTGTCCTGATGTGTGCCCAGTTGGGTCCCCTGCCTCCTTTGCTCCCACAAATTCCCAGTCTGGGCAGTAAGTCCGATGGTTACCAAGAACAGGGTTAGATACACGTGAATAAAAATGCAGTGACAAGGTCATTTTAAAGGGGTGGGAACTTTATATTTCTGTCCTTTATTTTAAAATGTCTTGTTTTCTATCCTTTAATTTACCAGGACGATGACAAAAGCTTTAGGAGGGCACCTTCTTGGAGAAAAAAGTTTAGACCAAAGGACATCCGTGGCTTAGCTGCTGGGTCAGCAGAGACTCTCCCTGCGAACTTCCGGGTCACTTCCTCTCTGTCCTCACCCTCTATGCAGCCAAAGAAAATGCAGCTGGATGGTATGTGAGGCATAGTACTGCCCCGGGCACTTGTTGACACAAACAGCTCTCTGGCTGGCATGTTAATAATGGTCTAAGATAGCCTCTTTAATATATAACAAGGCATTTGGGTGCTGCTGCATGCCCAGGTTTAAATGCTTTAAAATTAATCCTAACATCTGTGTATAAAAGTTTAACAATTATACAGATAGGTTTGAAGTTCTTATCTGGTTGAATATTAGCATATTCTTCCAACTAATAAAGCTAAGCAGTGTGAGTGTCCTCAGAGTGTTGGACTGACACCCACGCTTGCAAAGATGTGGATGTGGCGGGCGGCACTCGGATGCTCTTCCCTAGGATGGCAGCGCCAGAGCTCTCAGCATGGCGTGTGCTGCTGGGACCTCTCCCCTCGCAGGAGGAGGGACTGAATCCATTTTCATTAGCACAGTTTCCACCTCTATCCTCACTGTTACTTGTCTGTGTCATTGCACGTTGTAAGAGGACGGGAGAAGGCAGAAGGTGAGCCTGGGACGTCCTCACAGAGTGCAGCCGGTTGGGTGCAGTAGTCTAGCCACATAGTCGCTGTGTCAGATGCAGCTCGCAATTACCCCTAGATAGTCCCTCTGCCTCGAGAGCACAGCTAGTTCAGAGTTGGCCATAGTGGGCAGAGGGACCTCTCCGCTCCGACTGTGTCCCACTCAGTGGCAGGGCCAGGGGCCAGACTGCCTGGGTTGGAATCTGGATCTGCCATGTAGGAGGTGCATGATCTTGAGCACTGTGCCTCAGTGTCCCCATCTGTAGAATGGTTGTCACACTAGTGTCTTCCTCACTGATGGGCTGTGACGGCTAAGTGAGTCCTTCATGAGAAGCTGTTGGAAAGTGTCGGGAATGTCCTGAGTGCCATGTGGTAGCAGCTCAGGCCCCTGCAGCCGTAGGGCCGTGATGGATGACTGCGTGCTCGCTCTCGATAGAGACATGTTGTAGGGAAGGCTGTGCTGGTAGAAATCATATGGTGTGGTCTTCACAGTTTTCCTGCTGTTAGCTCTGCCCATAGATAGGATTGTGAGTTTTGCTCTCACTTATCTGTATAAAAACCAGAGAAAAGTAAGTTCCATGAAGCCCTGGCTGAGCTTTGAGTGAGAGCAGCTTATGGGGCAGCTTTTTAATTTAAAAACTGCATTTCTTTGCCAGACTTCAATAATATGCTTAGTGAGGGAAGACCCCAACTTTTAAAAAATAGCATTTTTCCCCAAGAAGCCAGTGGGTAATTTTTATAGATTTTAGTTGTAACTTGGCCTTTGACTTCTTGGGCAGTCTGACTGCTCTCCTCACAGCTTCATTTCACAAATCACATTTTCCTTGTTAAATGTTAACAGCAATGTTTGGATTAGGTTCAGGTAAATGAAACGTAACCAGAGAAGAAAGTATAGGGAGTGCATCTCACAGAAGGTGACTTTTCACTCATGTTGATAGTGGAGGCATAAACCCAGCCCAGTGGGTGTTCTCCTGGCTTCTTCAACATGAGGTGTATAGGAGCAGCGCGGGCCTCCTGGGCCCCTGGCGCTGGCCACTCTTGCCAGCAGTATCTGCTCCCCAGAACCTGTGCTCCCGAAGTACCTATGGGGAAACAAAACATCATGGGGAGCAGAGGACTAATGCTACAGATTTTGGAATGCCTGCTGAGCCATGCAGTGGCAGGGAGGGGCCGGTGTTCCTCGATAGAACAGAAGCGTCTGTGGTACGCACTGTTTCTGGCAGGAAGGGAGGCCGGGCTTTGATTTCCTTAGCTCATCGTCCCGCACCCACTGCCAAGAAGATAAGGCCGTCCTATCTCTCAGACAGACAGCAAGCGCCGGGACAGGTCCTGGACTCCTCTCAGCAGGCTGCGAGCTCTTCACGTCTTACTCTGAAAAATAGATGGTCAAGGCTGAAAGGAATGTTTATAAATCCAAAGGCTTTAAGGAGAGGCAGAGCTGTCGCAGTCACAGTTACTACTAATGCAGGTGTGTGTAGCAAAGTTATGGTGTCACCTGCTGCCCCCTGGCTGTTTTAGAATGAAGCCCCAGGGACCCCCGGCTGCTTGGGGGATGGGGACAGCCCACTCAGTGACTCTCAACTCCCGTCCTCCAGCTCCTCCAGTCCCATTTGGAAGCCCCCCCTGGGGCCCCTCAGTAGGTGCTGCCATGGGCGTGTGTGTGTGTGTGTGTGTGTGTGTGTGTCTGTGTCTGTGTCTGTGTCTGTAATTGTGCTGTCAGGTGATGTTCTGAGACTAACTGCACGCTGTGTTTGCACGCCTCCCTGTGGTTGTCGGAGCAGGCAGCGTGTCAGGACCGCAGAGGCTGGATTCTGCTACAGTCAGGACTTACTCCTGCTGACGTCTCCTGTAGGTGAGTAGCCAGGAGAGCCGGCTCCAGTTAACTCAGCAGCTATACAGAGTAGACACGCACGAGCCTCTCTGCACCCAGGGAGACAGTTCTGGTGTTCCGTGTGCTCATGTTTCATACATAGAAGCTACTGTGTCCCTGATCTTTAAGGGGAAAAATGTATTTCTGTTCTTAACATAAACAGAACGATGCTGGCTTACACGTCTGCTACTGTCTTCCTGGCGTGGAGAGGCAGGAGGGAGCGTCACCCAGCTCCTAGCTGCCTGCCCCCAGCGTCCAGGAGCGCAGTGCACGGTCTCCTGCACCTCAGTGTCTGCCTGTACCCTGGCGTCACTCCCAAGTCAGCTGCCACTAGCCAGCTTGGTGTTAAAGACACATTCCTGAATGAAACAGGCCCCAAAGTATAAATTTTGTGAGGCAGTACCACCACGTGACACTGATAACCCTTCAGTGGAGAGATGGGCTTTTTTTTTTTTTTTTTTAAGATGTATTTATTTGAAAGAGAGAGAGAAAGCCCATGTGCACACCTGTGCTAGCAGTAGGGGAGGGTGGGGGGAGAATCTCAAGCACACTGAGTACCAAGCTCCGAGCCCCATGCAGGGCTTGATCTCATGACACTGAGATCACAACCTGAGCCGAAACCCAGAGTCAGATACTCAACTCACTGAGCCACCCGGGCGCCCTGAGAGGTTGGCCTAAAAAAAACAACCCCCCCCCCCAAAAAAAAAAAGCTGCATTGCCATGAGAAGGGCTAGATTTGTGGATTAAGATTTTGGGTCCTGGCCCAGGAGCTGGGCCCTCTCCTGCCTGCTCTGAGGGCCCTGGGGGAGCTTTGTTTGCTCTTACTCTGCTTTCCTGTCTCGGCCAGAATATTGGCCTGGTGGGGGTGCTTGGGCTTAGTCGGAGGAGCATCCGACTCTGGACCTCAGGCTTGTGAGTTCCAGCCCCACGCTGGGTATAGAGATTACTTAAGAATAAAATCTTAAAAAAAAAAATTTGGTTTCTTCATTATTTATTAAAATCGGTGACTTTTAGACATAGGCCAAGATGAACTCAATCAAAGAATTATCATTAATAAGCAAAATGCTGGATGTTTTCTCTAAACCCACAAGGGGCTGAAGCCTCCTGGGCCTGGGAGTCCCCATTCAGCTGGCTCATCTGGAGACTAACTCTTCTGTTCGCTTCTGTTTTCCAGTTTACCCACACTACTTCTACAGATGAGTGTGCAGCATTTTGAACCCAACAGAGACTACATTTTAAAATTCAACGGAATCTTTAATCTGTTAATACTTGTTATATGGACCCTGAGATATTTTATTACAGAGTTTTTAATTAGCAAAAAATTCATGAATACCATAGAGAAAATATTTTAGAATTTAATGTTTCTTATATTTATGTAAACTTATGACTTCATTTATATAGTTACTTACTTTTTCATGTATATCCAGGCTATAAATATCCTTTGAAATCCATGTTCTTATATCTAATTTTAGTCTTTCAAATGAATGTACTGTAATGCTTGTATGTATAAATCTTATGAGCAGATATAGAGCTTTTGTAAATTGTGCATTTATTGTAATTATCATTACTTAATTTGTTAATAATATAATCTGTCAGAGAGAAGGATTTTACGATTGTAAAATCATAAATACATGATACAGCGTGTATTATCCTTTACAAACAAAATTGTTGCTCTACAACAATCATTTTGAAATAAGCAGACTTAATTTTGAGCAATTGTATTTTAATGACTGACCTTAACTATACTTTTTCTAGCAAGAAATGCTTTATTCTGCAGTGTGAACAGATTAAAAACACTTGGTGTTAAATATCAACTTATAAAAATTTGGACTGGAAAGATTATCAGAACACTATGAAAATCCCTTAGGACTGGTGAACTCTTTCACAGCCTCATCCCGGTGGGCTCGGGCAACTTGTCTTTAGTGACTGGCAGACGCCGGAGCTGAGGACCCGAAAGCCCGGGCGGGGGGCCTGGGCGCCCTCCTGGTGCGGAGCTCGCTGGCGAGAACTCTCAGAGGACCAATTAGGAAGCTGTCTGCGCCGAAGGGTGGGCGCCGCCTTGGAAATAATGTGCGACTCTAACAAAGGCCTTACTGTTCTTCTGTAAATCCTCTTTTTACATTTGTTTGTAAACTTGTTTAAAGAACGGACCTAGTCGTACATTTTTAGATTTTGATGAGATAGCCATTTTGGATTGTATAAGTAGCAAATGTAACTCTTCCTTTTTACTTGGCATATTAAAAAGCCAGCAAGAAATGTGTTCAGTTCATGGTGCGTTATTTATTATGCAGCTGATACATAGCCTGAAACAGCACAGCATGTCTTTCTACGTTTGGTTTCTGCTTTTAATTTACTTGTACAATTCATTGTACCATTCTGTTTTTCTATTAATCTTTTGTGAACTTCCTGATTGTGTAACAAAGTATGTACAGTCTACTTTTGAACTATTTTTATCACAGTATTATTTATTGCTGTCTTTCAATACAGTACTGAAGCATTTTCCACTGCCAATAAAGAATACTGAAAACAAGCTGCTTTGGCTCCTCTGTGCTGTGGGGGCCCCATCTGTGGGGGGAGCGGCTAGTGTGGAAATCAGCTGATGCCCCAAACAGCTGGGAGGTAGAAGGATGACCCAGGGTCTATGCCCTCCGTTCTGGAGGCCCAGAGACTCCATCTCCCCCTCTGTGCCTAAGAGAAGCCAGCCCTTCCTCCCCGGCCCAGATGAGGAAGCCTGTGCGTGTATACACGTGTGTGTGCGCGCATGTGCATGTGTGCCACTGTGTCTCATCCCTGCGTCCACCCTCCGTGTAGGCTGTACGCTCCTGCCCCTCTGCTCACATAGTCACAAGACAGTGCCCAGGGCTGCATCCTTCCACATGATCTTGGCCCCTGGCAACCAGTGAGGCTGCTTCTCCGAGAGCTCAGACCAGTCCTGAGTGGCAGAGGGGAGGGGACAGGCGCACCTGCTCAGGCGGGTCCCAGCAGGAACTCAGGCCTCCAAACAGGTTCCCTAGGGGAGGGCGGGGTGGGGGGGCAACCCACAGGTGGCCACTGCCAGCAGCTCTAGCACGAAAGCTCCTCCCCCAGCACCCCAGGAGACCGTCCTGTCGGGGTGGGGGTGGCTGACACCACCCTGGGCCCTGGGGTGTGGGTGCCGAGGAAGAGGGCCTGGCCCTCGCGGCCCCGCGGAGGTGGGCACCCACCCTGCCAGGGCTGACCCGCTGCCACCCTGAGAGAGGCAGGTTTGCTTTACGTGGATGAACACGTTCCTGGGTCGCTTCTGTCAGCGCACAGTTGGGTGGTTCTGTGTCTCCCCGTTCAGAACCGGTACCAGCTGATCTTCTAAGCCTTTTTTCTCTGCATCTCCGAGGTCTTCCTTGCTTTTCTAGTCTCACATGGTGTTTTCCCTGACCACGGCCAGGCTTGGGCCTCTGAAAGTTTCCGGAAACAAACCCAAATCATCACAGATTCATGAAGGTGCAGGTGTTTTATTAAAATTTGCTGATTCCAGGGGGCCTGGGGGGGGCTCCACCGGTGAAGCATTCGCCTTGGGCTCAGGCGATGATCCCAGGGTCCTGGGATCGAGTCCCACATCGGGCTCCCTGCTCGGTGGGTGGCTGCTTCTCCCTCTCCTCCCCCTGCTTGTTCTTTCTCTTTCTCTGTCAAATACAGATAAATAAAATCTTCAAAACAAAACAAAACCTTGCTGATGCCATTTATGCATAAAAAACAAATGTCAGTTGAGAAAGAGCAGCAAGCAGATGTTTAAGCTGTGCACTTCTCGGGTCTGCGCATCCCACGCTGAGTGTCCCAGGGCTGGCCTGTCACTCCTAGCCCCGTGGGGTCCCACTGAAGACACTTGGCTCTCCCCACCGCTCCCACCGTGCCTCCCAGCTGCTGTCCCGAACCCCCAGTGTGTGTGCTCAGTGATCATGGGTTTGGGTTTTACTCCTCCCTCGGCGCCAAATCCTGTGGGTGTGGATGGCTTCTCCGGGGAGCAGGGGGGCTGTCGGCCTGATGCTTGGGCCTCGGGGCAGACAGCGGACGCGCCAGCGCCGAAGTGCTGCTCTCCGGGCCCCCTCACTGCATCTAAGGCATTTCTACGTATCTCAGACACTCTTGTTCCTCTAACGTCTTAGCTTAATTCCAGTGATTCTGCTATTTTCCGTCCGTGTCTTGGTGATGCCTCTCCTCCAGCCCTGTTGCTTGAGGCCAGCGCTGTGTGCGCCCACCTGGCACGGGGGGAGTGGAGGCAGGGGGGGGTGTCCCTGGGAGAGGGGGCTCCAGGGGAGGCTGCACCTTGAGCCCCTGCCCACCTTTGCCGCTGCCCCCTCAGTGAATCTTACCCTCTCCCTCTGCACCTGTCGGTGGCCCACCCGGCTCATCCGGGGCGCTCTCGGGATCCCTCATAGTTGCATCTACAAAGACCCCTTTTCCCAGTGAAGTCGCATTCACAGGCTCCAGAGATCTGGACATCAGTGGATCTGTGGGAAGTGGGGCGGGGACACGGTGGACCTCACCCTTGGACGTTTCTTCTGCAGAAGACCCGCCCTGCCTTGTCCTGCCCTGGGGACATCGGGGTGGGGAGGGTGGGCCCCAGGGTCCCTGGGAACAGGATTCTGCGGTCACAGAAAGGGCACTGTGGGTGGATGGCTCAGAGAGTGGCCAGGAAGGAACAGAGGCCTGTGAAACAATCCAGAGCACCTGGGGTGGCACAGTTTGCTTCTGCTTGATCTTTGAATGTGAGTGTGCCTCGCAGCGCCTGCCCACGAATGGCGGGGGGGCGGGGGGACTGGGGTAGGGGGAGGGCTCGGCTCCATTAAAAAGCAATTCCAATAACCGCTAGTTGAGGACCTGATCTGTACAGGCCCTTGGAGGTGCCGGTGACACAGTGATGCGACAGCTAAGGGCCCCCAGACGGGTTTGGGGGCACAGCAGTGCAGACAGAGCTGCACGAGGGCACCCTGATTTCTTCCCCGTGGCCGTTGTCCCGAGGCCGGCCGGTTCCACGAGGGTAGCGTGACTGCTCAGTCTCAGGGTCGTGAGTTCCAGCCCCACGTTGGGGGTAGACATTGCTTAACATCTTAAAAAAATAAAAATTAAAAAGGAAATAGGGTGTTGGAGAGCTGATGACTCAAATCTCTTCAGCCCTATAGGTTATGTCATGTCACAATTCCTCGGTGACATTGCTTTTGTTTAACAACAACAAAAAAATTCAAATTAGTTTAGGTTGTTTTTATTTTAATTTTAAAAATTTAAAATTGCTTTTGTTTGATTCCAGGAGAGCATCCTGGACGATGGAGCCAAAGCCGGGAAGGCACGGCTGTTGGCCGCCCCTCATTGCGAGGGGAGAGCTGTGCTCTGTTGGCTTCCTCTGTAGACGGCCGTGGAGACCCACTTAAAATATTCTAGATGAACCACACCTCGGGCCCGAGTCATCAGCTCTCCAACACCCTATTTCCTTTTTAATTTTTATTTTTTTAAGATGTTAAGCAATGTCTACCCCCAACGTGGGGCTGGAACTCACAACCCCGAGACTGAGCAGTCACGCTACCCCAATGGAACCGGCCAGCCAGGTGCTCCTCTTTCTTTAATGTTTTCATCAAAGTAACAGCATGCACATTGTTTCAAGGAAAACAGCAGTGGCCGCTGTCCCTGCTCCCCCAGGATTTACGAATGAAATAGTACAGTGCCTGGGACTTGCTTTAAAATAACACTGGGATAGGGCAGCCCGGGTGGCTCAGCGGTTTAGCGGTTTAGCGCCTGCCTTCAGCCCAGAGTGTGATCCTGGAGACCCAGGAGTCCCACGTCGGGCTCCCTGCATGGAGCCTGCTTCTCCCTCTGCCTGTCTCTGCCTCTCTCTCTCAATAATAAATAAATAAAATCTTTTTAAAAAATTAAATAAAATAATACTGGGATAAAAATAAAAAAATTTTTTTTCAATTAAAATTAATTAAAAGGGCAGCCCGGGTGGCTCAGCGGTTTGGCGCCTGCCTTCAGCCCAGGGCCTGATCCTGGGGTCTCGGGATCGAGTCCCATGTTGGGCTCCCTGCATGGAGCCTGCTTCTTTCTCCCTCTGCCTGTGTCTCTGCCTCTCTCTCTCTCTCTCTCTGTGTCTCTCATGAATAAATAAATAAAATCTTTTAAAAATACAATTAAATTAAATTAAATTAAAACAAGAAAAATACATAAATAAAATAACACTGGGGGGGGGGGCAGCCCAGGTGGCTCAGTGGTTTAGCGCCACCTTCAGCCCAGGGCCTGATCCTGAAGACCCTGGATCTAGTCCCACATCAGGCTCCCTGAGTGGATCCTGCTTCTCCTCTGCCTGTGTCTCAGAGCCTCTCTCTCTGTGTGTCTCTCGTGAATAAATAAAATCTTTTTTTAAAAAATAAAATAAAATAACACTGGGCAAGGGGCACCTGGGAGGCTCCATCGGAGAAGCGTCTGCCTTTAGTTCAGGTCATGATCTCAGGGTCCTGGAATCAATCCCACATCGAGCTCCGTGCTCCGTGGGGAGCTGCTTCTCCCTCTCCCTCTGCCTGCTGCTCCCCCTGCTCGTGCGCTCTTGCTCGCTCTCTCAAATAAATTAAAGCTTTAAAAATATAATATCGGGGAAGGGTTGGATCAGGGTATAGATCAAACAAAATTGACCTTGACCCCGTGGGTTAATAACTGTTGAGAATGGGTGAGGGGTATGTGAGGGTTTGGTGTATGTTCTACTTTTGCATTTGTGTGCGATATTCTGGAATAAACGCTGTTAGCAGTTATGTAGGGAGCCCCTGCAGGTGACAGACTGTCTCGGTCTGCAGATGTCTGGAAGGATTCCTTCCTGACCTTCGTTTGCAATGTAATTCAGGCCGGGTTTGAACTTCCAGCTGCACCCACAGCAGAAAGATCTCTCACACCACGACTCCGCATGCATGCGCACACAGACGTTCAGCCAATTCCATCTCCACCGTGCTTTCACATGCCAATAGGTGTGAGGTCAGGATGCGTCCTCAAAGCAGTGACATCTTAGACTTGGGGAAACGCAGCATCTGACAGTGTCACAGTTAATGATGGCTGCAGATCCTTTGCTACAACTCCCATCGGGAGGTGGAGTCTAAGTCCTCCCCTGAAGCCAGCCCGGTCTCACTGGTGTGGTTAACCACATGGACGTGTAGATGTGACACTCGGGGACCCCTGAAGTGAGGCCATCAGAAGTCAGCCTTACAGAAACCAGCCCCCAAGTAAGAAGCCCAACTCCCCAGAGACCATCATGCTGTAAGGGAGCCCAAGTGAGCCACCTGGGGGGCGGGCAGGGAGAGCGAGACCCCAGAGGTTCCTCCCATCCTGATGTGGGACTAGATCCAGGGTCTTCAGGATCAGGCCCTGGGCTGAAGGCGGCGCTAAACCACTGAGCCACCTGGGCTGCCCCCCCCCCCAGTGTTATTTTATTTATGTATTTTTCTTGTTTTAATTTAATTGTATTTTTAAAAGATTTTATTTATTTATTTATGAGAGACACACACACACACAGAGAGAGAG